TCTCTTCCTTCTGGCTGTTCCTGAGTTATACCCTTTTATGATAAGCCAATGATCTGAAAATTCTACCAATCTACTTCTCTATCTGGTATTCTAGGCATGTGTATGTAACTTCAAATCATAAAAGAGCAGAGCACAGGAATAAGCTTGTGGTAGGAGAGAGACTGTAAGTTCTACTCTATCCAACAATCATTATGGGGAGGAGACAAGATCGTGAAGCAGAAGGACTTAATCTCACCTCCTCTCTGAAAACACCAGAATCACAACTGCTGAACAATCATCAATAAAAGACTGACATATAAGACCAGATGAACTTAATTTATAGAACATTTCATCCAAAAGCAGCAGAATACACATTCTTCTCAAGTGTACACAGAACCTTCTCCAGGGCCACAAAGCAAACCTTTGCAAATTTAAGAAAACTGAAATCATATCAGGCAACTTTTCTGACCATGAGATTAGAAATCAACTACAAGGAAAGAAACTGTAAAAAAGACAAACACATGGAGGCTAAACAATTTACTCAGTGACCAATAGATTCCTGAAGAAATTAAAGAGGAAGTAAAAAAATGCCTAGAGACAAAATGATCCAAAACCTCTGGGATGCAGAAAAAGCAGTTCTAAGAGGGAAGTTTATAGCAATAAAATCTCACCTTAGGAAATGAAAAATCTCAACAACCTTATCTTACACCTAAAGTAACTAGAGAAAGAAGAACAAACAAAACCTAAAGTTAGTAGAAGCAAAGAAATCACAAAGATCAGAGCAGAAATAAAACAATAGAAAAGACCAATGAAACTAAAAATGCTGGTTCTTTGAAAAAGATAAACAAAAATGACAAACCTTTAGCCAAACTCAACAAGAGAAAAAGGGAAAGGACTCAAATCAATAAAATTAGAAATGAAAAAGAAGTTATAATTAACTCCACAGAAATAGAAAGGATCATAAGAAACTACAAGTAACTATATGCCAATAAAATGGACAAATTCTTAGACTGGTACAATCTTCCAAGACTGAACCAGGAAGAAACAGAAAATATGAGCCAGACCAATCACAAGTACTGAAATTGAAATCATGACTTAAAAACTTCCAACAAACAAAAGTCCAGGAGCAGATGGCTTCACAGGCAAATTCTATCAAACATCTAGATAAGACTTAACATCTATCATTCTGAAGCAATTTTTAAAAATTTCAGAGGAAGGAACACTCCCAAACTCATTCTATGAGGCCACCATCACTCTGATAACCAAAACCAAAGACATCACAAAAAAAGAAAATTACAAGCCAGTAACACTGATAAACACAGATGAAAAATCCTCAACAAATACTAGCAAAACTAATCTAACAATAGGATCATTAAAGGATCATATACCATGATCAAGCAGAATTTATCCCAGGGATGCAAAGATTTTTCAATATCCAGGAATCGATCAGTGTGATACACCATATTAATCAGTTGAAGAATACAAACCATATGATCATCTCAACATGTACAGAAAAAGCTTTTGACAAAATTCAACACCCATTTGTGGTTAAAAAAAAAAAAAAAAAACCTCTCCAGAAAGTGGGCATAGAGGGAACCTATCATAACATAATAAAGACCATATAGGATAAACCTACAGCTAACATCATACTCAATAATGAAAAGTTGAAAGCATTTCCTCTAAGATCAGGAACAAGATAAGGATGTGCACTCTTACCACTTTTATTTAACATAATTTTGGAAGCCCTAGCAATGGCAATCAGAGAAAGAAAAGAAATAAAAGAAGTTGGAAAAATTGAAAAAGAAGAAATAAAAGAAAAGTTGGAAAAGAAGAAGTAAAACTCACTGTTTGAAGATGACATGATACTATACATAGAAAATACTAAAGTTGCTAACAGAAAGCTACTACAGCTAAATGAATTTGGTAATGTTGCAGGATATAAAATTAATATGCAGAAATCTCTTGCATTTCTACACACTAACAATGAAAAAACAAACAGAAATTAAGGAAACAATTCCATTTACTATCACAGCAAAAAGAAAAAAATAGCTAGGAATATACCTACTTAAGGAGGCAAAAGACCTATACTCTAAAAACTATAAGGTGCTGATGAAAGACACTGAAGATGATACAAACAGATGAAAAGATATACCATATTCTTGGATTGGAAGAATCAGTATTGTCAAAATGACCATACTAACCAAGGCAATCTACAGATTCAATGCAATCCCTGTGAAATTATCAATGGCATTTTTCACAGAACTAGAACAAGAAATTTTAAAATTTGTATGGAAACACAAAAGACCCAGAATAGCCAAAACAATCCTGAAAAGGAAAAATGCAGCTGGAGGAATCAGACTCCCTGACTTCAAATTATACTAAAGCTACAGTAATCAAACTGTATGGTACTAGCACAAAGACTGATAGATCAATGGAACTGGATAGAAAGCCCAGAAATAAACCCACACACTTATGGTCAATGAATCTATGACAAAGGAGGCAAGAGTATAAACTGGAGAAAAAATAAACTCTTCAATAACTGGTGCTGGGAAAACTGGACAGCTACAGGTAAAAGAATGTAATTAGAACACTCTCTAATACCATACACAAAAATAAATAAAAATGGAATAAAGACAAGTTTAAGGCCAGATACTATAAAACTCTTAGAGGAAAACAGAGACAGAATACTCTGACATAAATCATAGCAATATCTTTTTGGATACACCTCCTAGAGTAATGAAAATAAAAACAAAAATAAACAAATAAGAACTAATTAAACTTAAAAATCTTTTGTACAGCAAAGGAAACCATAAACAAAATGAAAAGACAACCTACAGAATGGGAGGAAATATTTGTAAACAAAGTGACTGACCTGGGATTAATCTCCAAAATATACAAACAGCCCATGCAGCTCAATTAAAAAAAAAAAATCAAAAATGGGCAGAAGACCTAAACAGACATTTCTCCAAAGAAGATATAGAGATGGTCAAAAAGCACATGAAAAGGTGCTCAACATCGCTAATTATTAAATCAATTGAAACTACAATGTGATATCACCTCACACCAATCAGAATGGCCATCATCAAAAAGTGTATAAACACTAAATGTTGGAGAAGATGTGGAGAAAAAGAAACCCTCTGTGTTTATGGGAATATAAATTGGTATAATTACTATGGAGAACAGCTGGAGATTCTTTAAAAAGCTAAACATAGAATTATCATATGATCTAGCAATTCTACTCCCGGGCATTTATCTGGAGAAAATCATAATTCAAAAAGATACATGCACCCCAGTGTTCACTGCAGCACTGTTTACAATAACCAAGACACAGAAGCAACCTAAATGTCCAACTCATGAATGGATAAAGAAGATGTGGTTCAAATATACAACGGATTATTACTCAGCCATAAAAAGGGAAATAGAGCCATTTGCAGCAACATGGATGGACCTAGAGATTATCATACTAAGTGAAGTAAGTCAGACAGAGAAGAGACAAATATCGTACGATATCACTTGTATGTGGAGTCTAAAAAGATGATACAAATGAACTTATTTACAAAACAGAAACAAAACAACATGCAATAAAAGAGAAAAACACTATTCAGCTGTTTAAAAAAGGACCAGATTTACTGATATGAAACAATATCTAAAAAATATCTTTAAGGAAAAAGAGCAGAGAGAAAATGGGTATAGTATGCTTCCATTCATGAACTTCACAAAAAGATAATACATATTTTTAAAAGATATACATATCCTAAGAGATGCACAGGATATCTCTGGAAATATACAGCAAACTGAGATGGATGAATGCTTCTGGGGAGGCAAGAAGGAGACTGAAAGATGCACTTGACGTCCTGTACCTTTGTTACTATTTGAGTACTGTTTTTATTTTTTTTTACTATGTGAAGTTTTGCTTATAAAACACATAAAAGTTTTGCTTTCAGATTTTATATCCCCAGCCAGATCGCATCTCTGAGCTCCAGATCTGGATCCCAGCTGCCTGATTTTCAACTACTCCCCTGCATTTCTCACATGTACTTTCAACACAGTCAATACAAAACTAGATGGTGATCTTCCCCTCAAAACCTGTCCCTTCCAGGGCTCCTCATCACATGGACATCACAAGCCCTTAGAGCCCAAAGTATGTGTGGTTCTCACTCCTCCCACTCCCCGGCTCCAACTTCCAATCCACCCTGGTGCCTGTGGATTCTCTAGTCAACACATGCACATCGGCTTCTCCACTTGGGCAGTGCCCTGAACCAAGACACTGTGATCTCTCAGCTTTGTCACAGTCATAAGCGGGTCTACCGGGGCTGTTCTTGTCTCTTCTCTGCCAAATCTGTCATTTTCCCCACTAAAAAAATTCATCAGCAGCTTTGGGAAGTAGCAATAATCATATGGATTAGAAAGCAGCCATAATTTTCAATAGAGTCTACATGACTTTGCCTTTTCTAGTCTTTTCTTGTGTGATTCTTCCATTTCACTCTTTACATTCCAGTCACACTAACCTTCTTGTAGTTCCCCATAAAATTCTTCCCTTAAATACTCATTTGCTGAGTCTTCCACCTGGAAAGCTCTTCTGCCCCCCAAGTATCTCCAGACACCAACTTCTACTGAGTTAACTACCTCTCAGCTTTCCAGTCTCAGTTTAAACACAGTCTCTTCAGAGCATCTTTGCTGATCCTTCAGACAAAGTCAGGTTCCTGTTTCATATTGTTTTGCACTCCTTCTTCATATAATTTTCTACAACAATAATTAATCATAAAACAAGCTACTTCCCTCTAATAATCTGTTTAAGGACAAGAATAATTTTGCCCAGTGACTAAAATAGTGCCCACAAAATAAATACCTGTTGAATAAATGAATGAATGAACAGGGAAGGGAGACAAAACCACAGGGAAGACCAAAGGCCATTGCTCATGAGGGTTCATGTCAGCAGTGAGTGGCCCCTAGGAGACAAAACTTCCTAAGTATCACAGCGGTCCTGGCCCCTGGTTCATGCCTCGCATTTGCCTACTCACCACACTGTCTGGGGACTGGAGCTGGCTTGGCAACGCTGGGCTGCTATTATAGCCAGAGGTGCCACCAGATGAGAGGCTTCCGTCGGAGCTGGTGCACCGAGAGCCAGAGGTGGCCAAGGTGTGCAGTTTTTCTTCCTCCTGGGAAGGACAGATCACCGCCAACCAGCTTCAGATGCCTCCTCACTACCCACACTCCCATCGCCTCCTGCCTTAGCCTCATACCCTCATGCCTCCCCCATCCCAATCCCAACTATAGTCCCAAGCTGCCTCCTCCCAGACTCTCGCCTGGGGACCAGAGCTGGTCTGATGAGGATGACATGTAAACAGAGTGAAGCAGCTCTGAACAGGCACCAGGACCTGACACCTTCCTCCAGATGCTATGTTCCAAGACTCAGAGGCAGCATGGTGATGTGACCCAGTCTGAGGTCTGCCCCAGGCCCAAGCCCACCCTGAAATCAGAGGCTTGCCCCGCTTCCCACCCGCAGCAGCTGGGAGATGATCTGCTGGCGAATTCTCAGCTTTTCCTGTTCAGTCCGCTCCCGCAGTCGGTCCCGGGCCCGGGCAATCTCCACTTTGGCCTCCTCACGGGCCCGCTGGTATTCTTGTAGCATCAGCTCTATGTCAGAGGGTGGGTGGGAAGACCTTGATGCTGACCCTGGGCTCCTGGGGAAAACCAGAAGGGTGCAGAGATGCCTTCTAACGTGGTCAGTGGGCGATGGCCCAGGCCCGCTCAACACTGCCTTCTTGAAAGATCCATCCTCTCTTTGCCCACAGGGTCTTCAAGTTTGGTTTTATAAACATCCTGAGGCTCAGGCCTGCAGCCTCACACAGCACATCATGGCTCCTCTATCCACTCCACCCCCTCCACAGGTCCCCCCCACCCTCCATTTTCCCTTTGCCTCTGTCTCCACAGCTGCCTACCACTGTCCACAGGCACGTAGGACCCACTCCTGGTCACTCCTGGCATAGAAAGCTGTGGCCTCCAGTGTCCAGGACACTACAGTCCAGGCTCCACTCCCCACATGCTCTCACCCCACATCGAGCTGGCTCCCCGCAGGGCACTGGGTCCACCTACCGGGTGGTCTCCACAACGTCCTTTCTCAGCCGCTGCAGGTATTCTCGGCGCCGGCTGGGGAGGTCAAAGTCCCGAGCAAAGCTCAGTTGCTTCTCGGGGCTGAGGCTTCGTGTTCGGCGGGAGTTCTGAAGTCCCTGAGCCTGCTCCCTCTGGAGGGTCTCTGCTTTGTGTTTTGGCCTGAGACAGAACGTGACTGAGTCACTGATGCTGACCCTGAAGCCCCTTCTCTGACTTAAGATCTGTCTCTGACCCCTGGAAGATCCCAGAGCTGAGCCAGGGAGAGGGGAACAGCCAGCTGTTAGCCTTCTCTGGCCTCCCACCCAGGGCCAGGTCCTTACCGGGCGTATAGCTCCTCCTCCTCGGCAGAGAGCGCCTCCCCCGTGCCGCTCTTCAGCACCTGCAGCAGGGCATCTGCCTCCCCGAAACCATGGTGCAGTTTTGCTTCTGTGAGTTCTGTGCTGAGGGAGAGGTTCTGGGCCCCAACTTTCAGGGGGATCTGCTCCCTCTGGGGCCACTCTGGTGCCCGGCTCTGGTCCTCAGGGGCTTGTGGGCGCCTCTGGGGCTGCTCTCCAGAGCCACAATCACCTCTGGTCCTCAGGGAATCCACGGTACCTGGCCCTCCAGGAGAGCCATTCTGAGGCCCACACCAGTCACTAAATTTGTTACGCATGGGAAGGTCCCTCAGACCATGATGTTGGGGCTCAGGGGTAGTGTACATCTGGGAACCGGGGGGCAGCAGCCCCCCAGGCTGGCAGGCCACAGGCGGGCCCAAGATGCAACCCTGGAGCCCTGGGGTATCAGTCAACTCAGAGAAAGGGCAGGGGCTGTGGCGCTGGAAGCCCCGCAACGAAGAGGAAACGTCCAGAGCGGGCCGCAGCTCCACTGGAGAGGCTGAGCCCTCACCCCTTTTCTCTGTCCTGCTCTGCCACACACCTGGCCCCCTTCTGCTCAGCGAGCCACACTCTACTGAGGCCACGTCCTCAGGCAGAAGGCTGTCAGTCAGCCTTTGGCTCCTGCTCCTCAGGGCAGGGGGCGACAGCCTGCTCTGCACCCTGGCGGTGGTCCTGGGCAGGCACTGCTGCGGGGGCTGCTGCACAAAACGGACTTGGAGCTTTGTGCTCTGCTCTGGGCTGCCTTGGGAGCTCACCCCAAAGGGTCTGCGGTCGCCCCCTTCTAAGGAACTTCTACCTTCTCCACATGGAGCCCCTGCTCTCTGAGAGCCACCTGCCTCATCAGTGGTTTGAGAAAAATTACCCACTGGAGGCTGGGGGGCAGGAAGGGGAAGGCTTGGGCTGGACATGAGTTTCTGGCGGCTGTCAAGGGAAAGAGCTGAGGGAGATGAGAGAGACAAGGCGCCTGGCGGGACCCCCGACCCTGGGGTGCTGGCACTAAGCGTGAGGATCGGGGAGGAGGCCCTGTCCACCAGCAAGGCACCGGTAGGCCCCTGCTCCTTCTGCACGCTGAGCTCCCCGACAGACTCCACAGTGTGGGGGCAGGGCCCTGGGGAGGAAAATGTGCTGAGGCAGGGTCTGCCAACAGCCAGGCAGGAGGGCTCCTCTGGCTGGGAGCTGGGAGGCAGGAGGGCACCCGAAGCCTGGGGGCTCAGAGAAGGCAGGTTCTGCCCAAAGGGGCCTTTCTGAAAGTCGAAGTGGAATGAGGGTACAGGGGTGCTCTGGGGCCTGCAAAGAGTGTCTTCTCCCTGAAGATCTAGGGGCCCTGCTGTTTTCCACACTGTCTCCTCTGCCTCTCTCTTCTGAAGTGTCCCGGGGACATGTCCCTTTCCTTGAGACATACTAGTGAGATCCGAGCCCAGCCCTTCAAGGATCACATTGACCTTCTGAGGGTTGGCCTCTGGGGCCTGGAAGTGGAGGGATGGTGAGGCCAGGTCAGTCTGGATGCCCTCATCCATGGTGGTCTGAGTAGAGCCATCCGTCATCTGGGTCTGGGGCACCTCACGAGGGGTGTCCCTCTTGGCATTCCACTCCTTTTCGGCCACACTTGGCTGGGAGAGACTCCCCAATAGCTCCGAGGTGCTGTGGAGGAGCTGTGAGAGGTGGAGTGACAGGCTGTGCATGCTGGCCCAGGAGGCCAGATCCGACCGGGCAGAGGAGTCAGAAGAGCTCCAGTGGGACTTGCAGCCCAGGGTCTGCGTGCCTCGCTCCAAGGTGTCCATCCTGGACTGAGCTACAGGACCACCCACCTCGGATGGATATAGCAGCATAATCTCATCCACTGGACCTGCAGCACGTCCCTCAGCCCAGGGGGGCTCCCTCCTTGGAGAACCCGCTTCATCAGGGGTGCCCCGGAACTGGGCTCTCTCATCAGGACCCTTCGAGGGGGCTGCTCCTTCAGAGCTGATCAGGATGTCGGGGTTCCTCAGGGCAGGCAAGGAACCCCATACCTCCCAGGCCTCACGTGAACCTCGGGCATTTCCAACGCTGCTGCATTTGTTCAACATGCTCTGGGCGCTGGCCAAGGTGCTGAGGTGGGAGCGGAGCAAGGAGCTCTGGTCCTCTAGGCAGCTGCCCATGCTGCTCTGGGCCACGTTTGGAGGTGTTAGACCCTGCGATGTGGGGCAGTGGGAGACGCTGACTGCACCACCAAATACATGCTGCCTCCAGCCAGTGCACACAGGCCCCTTGGGATGCCAGGGAAGGATGCAGGGGTTGATGTCACTGGGGCCCAAGAGCAGGGCTCCTCCACCCACATCCATGGAGCGCCACTCCTCTGGTCTGGCCTGGCCACCCAGTCTCTCTGACTTTCCTGACTGGGCCTGTGCCAGAGCACCAGATGGATGGACGGACGTGAGATTAGGGATTGGCATTCTCGAGAAAGTTGAAGTCGCTGAATAAGGTGGGGGTGCGAGTAGTAGGGGCCTGAGATCAGTAGCAATACTGTCCAAGTCAGAGAAGGCTTCCTGATCACAACCCTCAGCATTCGGAGACGTTCTCACTGCAGATTTTCCTGAGAAAGTGCCCCTGGGGTGTGAGGCCCACAGTTGGTTGGGCTCCGCGATATCCTCCTCTGTTGGGGAAGGAGGCTCCACGCTCAAGTTCAGCTCCTGAAGAGACCGGGAAGAGCTGACCACAGAGAACTGTGGTCTGGAGTATTTGCGACCGGAGAAGACTGAAATTATAGGACGTGAACCCCGGTGGTGGGGCGCCGGCTGCTCCCCACCAGAAGAGGGCTGCCCAGGGCCCTGGGCTGCCGGCCAGCATGCTCTGCGTTGCCCTAAGGAGACAGCGGCTGAGTCACCGAAGCTGGGCGAGATCGTCTTGGACGCAGGGGACCTGGCCACTCTCCTGCCCTGTCTGTCTGCACCTCTAATCTGACAGCTGTCCGAGCTGCCTTCATCAGCATGTGGGGGCCTCCTGACCCCCACAGGGTCTCCACGGCCACCTGCAGCCTGGTCTCTCTGCTGCTCCTCCTCCTCCCATGGACTGTCAACCTGGGATCTGGAGATATACTTTAACTCTGTTATGAGTTTGGCTTGGGGTTGCAAGACACCATGATCCCTGGACCCTGGGGGAAGTTGCGGCTCTTCTGGAAGGCATCTGATGTCATTTCCCAAACATCCCTGTTGTAGTCCCTCCAGCAGCTCACTCTCAACACACCCTTCACTTAAATTCAGGGTGTGTGGTCCCCCCGCTGCTGCTGGCTTGGGTTGAGAGCCCTGTGCACCCTGGCCCCCCACAGAGCTGTCCTGCAACCTCCCGGGTGTCTCAGAGCACCCGCCCTCGGGGGAAGGGAGAGCCTCAAGCTCGGCTCTGACTTTCTTCTCGGCAGCCTTCTTCTCAGAATCCCCTACTGACCTGGAGCTCCCATCAGTAAGCAAGGGGCTGAGGGGGCTCGTCCTCATGTCGGGGGCAGCAGGGGAGCTGCAGCCCCCAGTCAGAGGTAGGAACGCAGCGGCGGAGGCCTCTGGGGTGCTGCCGTCTGCTGGCCCCAGCTCTATGTTAATGCCTTTGGGCTCACGGCCATGCGCCAACAGCACGCCAGGTTCCCTGCCATGGCCCTCTCCTCTCTCCATTCCCCAGGCCCTGGAGGGGACCCTGGAAGGGTGGTGAGGGTGTAGAGGAGCCATGGAAGCCCCCCTGCCCAGGTCACCATCTCTGTAACACAGTGAGGTGGAGGGAGGGGAGGAACGGGCACCCCAAACAACAGGTTGAGGGCTACACGGCTGCCAGCAAGGACCAGATCTGCTCTCTTCCTGGCTCTGGGATAGGCCAAGGGTCTTGCTGCCACCAGGGCTCCATGAGGAGACACCAACACCTGAGTCTTCCCGCGGGCATCTGCTCGGGGCCTCCTCTCTGACTCCCCCGGGGCTCTGATCTGGCAACAGAGCTGGCCTGGGACCTTCCACGCCAGCCCTGCAGGCTTCTGCCAGCCCAGAGCCAACACTCCCTTCCCGCTTCACACGCGGCTGTGAGGGAGCTTCTGGTCCAACCCCCCTCAGGGCTCCGGGCAGGACGGCACCCCATTTGGGGCTCGCCCTCCCTTCTTCTGAGCTGGCAGAAGCCTCGAGGCATTGGCCCTGGTCTTGGTTAGGCTCCGAGAGGCTGGCTGAGTTCTGAACATCTGCGATCACAAGGCGACTTTCAAAACAGGCTGCTCTTTCTCCCTGTGCAGTGGCTTGGACGGTACCTGAGCCTCCTCCCCACGTGCAGTCCGGAGTCCCAGGTACTTGGTGGGCTGGGCTGCTCTCCTGATGGCCAGGGAGCATGCCCTCGGCCGCAGCCAATGCCTCTCGCCCCTGTGCAATCCGTCCAGCCTCCTCCAAAGGGGCCTGAGAAAGTGAGGCAGCCACCACTTCCCCTGTCATCACCCTCCTGTCCTCCTCCCTGGAGGCTGCTGAAGAAGGAAGACTCTCTGAGCCCAGAGCACCAGCAGAGGGAGCCGCTCCGGATGCTTCGTTTTTCTCGGTGATTTCAGAAGAGCTTGTGTGACACACAGATTGTTCACCTGCTCCCAGGAAACACTCCTGTTTTCTGGTACAATGGCTCCCACCTGGAGCGGACTCAGTGTGGGCAGAAGTCCGTGAGGGACACTGTGGCCCCATGCCAGTGTCAGTGCTGGGCAGAGAGTGGAAGCTGTCTGCAGACGGGGGTATGGCCTGAAGGACAGTTGTCTTCTTGTCAACTGATCGGTGTCCTGGTTCAACGGAGAGAGATGCTGTGTGATTCCATGCTTCAGCCTCATTTGTGGTCCTGTCAGCCACTGACTGGCCCATTTGTGGACACTGCAGCCTGCCAGGGGCCCTTGAAGAACATTCAGGTTCTAACAAAGTCTTGCTGGAAGGCAGGACTGTGCCCCCAGCCACCACGTCGTAAAGCTGCTTCCTCTGAGTCTTTGCCAGTCCCGTCTCCTCCAACACAGCCAGGTTTGTGGGTGGCTGAGCAGAGGGCTCTGGCTGAGGGACCCCTGGTGGGGACACAGGCGCTGAGAAAGCCCCACCAGGAGGACTGAGGTCCTCGGCCTCCTGCCTTACCTCTCTGCCTTGGCTGTCTCCTTCTTCTAAGGGGCTGCCAACCTTCCTCTCAAGCAGGCTAGAGGCCCCATTCAGGGCACCAGCTCTGTCTGGTCCTCTTGGTTCAGCTGCCTCGGCTCTGGAAGGAGAACCTACCCTGCTACCCAGGCCCATCGAGCTGCTTCTAAGGTCGCCTCCTTGGTCTTGGGGACCAGTGCTTGCTGACCTCTTGCCCTCGGCGCCCAGGGGAACGCTCCCTGGTACACTGGATTGACCACGAGGTCCCGTGGCCATGGGTGTCACAGATCCGGGCCAAGCAGCGTGCACCACAGAGGAGTCCCATCTGTCATCTCCCTGCAGGCTGTGGTGTCCGGACGCTCCACTATGGTCCTGCTGCCCCGCTCCAGTTACCAAGGGACTGGTGGGCATTTTCAGCACCGTAGGATCCAACACATAGTCAACAGAAGAGATGCCTAGAGTATCAGGTGCATAAAGATAGCTTCTTGGCAGCCTTGTTGAATTCAAGAGCAAGGTATGACTCAGGTCTTGGCGAGGAGCCGTGCAGGAGTCTGGCTGGCTTGGTAACAGGCCGGTCCTGTGGCTGAACAATGTGTGCACACAATGGTGGCACAGGCCAGGGAGTCTCTGAGTCGACGAGACTGTGTTTTTCTCCTCTAGGCTTCTTCTTTGAGCAGCCGTTTCTTCCATTCTGCCTTGAACTGCTGGCTCCTCCTGCTGAGAACGATGGATGCACTTGGCAGGATGGCTTTCTTGAACACCCTCCAAAGTCTCCAGCTCCTCCAGACTTCCCAAGCTGCGGGGCTGACGTCTGAGGTGCACTGCATTCCCGAGCTCGCCCTCCTCAGAAGTCCCCTTGGGCCTGGGCTGCAATGGCAGAGCTCTGGCTGAAGCTTTAGTCCTCGGGTGAGCAGAGGCATTGGTGCATTCTCTGCAAACTGTGCACACCCCTAAATAACCACCAGAGTCCTTGGAGGGTGTGTCTAGCACAGCTGGGTAGGTATGCCCTCTCACAAATCTGCTGCCAGGTCTCTGGGGATCAGTGCTACCGTTCACCTCCACTTCCCCAGCTTCACCATCCCTACAGATAACATCGTCTGTCCATTTGGGAGAAGTCGGCTGATCCTTGAAGGGCGGGTGGTTTCCAAAGCTGCCTGTCCTCAGCACGCTGTCAGCTGTCTCCTGGTCCTGTCGGTACTGGAAGATGAACTCCTTGCTGACTCCCGGTGGATGGGAGGCGTGCAACTGCTTACCCTGTTTGGATTCAATTTCTGAGATGCCATTCTCCAGCTGCATCACACTCCTAATTAGCCTAGCCATCTCGTTGGCACTATTAACTCTTTCATCCCATGTCTTTCCAGGAGGTTCTTCTTTGGGATTTGCTTTAAGTGCTTTTCCAGGGACTTTGCATTCGCTGAGGTTTCTTTCCTGAGAGGATGTAACTGACTGGAATTGTTCATATGTGGACTCAGTCTGTGAAAGCTTAAACTCTTCTGAGCCGTCTTTGGAATGGGGTGCTTTTCCAAGAAGCCCAGTTCCATTCCTCCCTTCCTCCTTATGGGCTGGACTCTCACCCAGGGCCATTGTCTCTGGGCGGCTTACCTGATGACGTACTGATCTAGACTTCAAAGGAAGAGCTGCATCCTGTGGCTCGTCCTTGTCAGGGGCTAAATAGAGGGTTTTACAGGTGAAATCAGACCTAACCCTGGAAGGAAAGTGTCTTTTCGCGTCAAAGGCCTGAGCCTGTGTGAGGACTGCGTTCTGCCCCTGCTCTTCTTCCTCACCCGTCTCAGATTCACACGCAAGGAGAGGCTTCCCTGACCCAGAACTGTTTGAGGAGACACTGCAGTAGGACTGTATAGGAGCCTTTGCTCCCTGCTTGAGCGTTGGAAGACTGTGTTTATTTAAAATTCCAACTTGATTTTCAAATTCACATACTTTTATGCTGGTAGATGGGAAAAAATGTCCGTTCTGAGTGACCAAAAAATAAACCGAATTATGGCTTCTTTCTTTAACCTTTCCAAGGCATTTCCCTTTTTCTCTGCAAACTTCCTTGGCATTCAAATCAACTGGCCTCTCTGCTGCGACCTGCTGAGATGATGCAATCTTGGAATTCTGGTTTTGTAATTGTACTGGCAACTTATCCTCCACGTACACATTTTGGAGGACCTGGTGCTCATGTCCAAAGCCCCAGGCTTCCCTGAGGGGTGGGGAGGGCACCCTTGCTTCTCTGCAAGCTGGAATTTCCAAGGCAGTTTCTGTCAGGGCATCTCGGCTTTTGGTCACATAGAATGTTTCCAAAGGAGGTGGCTGCAGGGAAGATGGAAGTGGATTCCAGGGAGCAGAGTGAAGGTATAGCTCTGGACCAGAAGGAAAGGAGCAGGAAGGCTTGCTGTGTCTTCTGCCCGCTTCCATGGAGCTCTCCTGGGAGTCTGTCTGCTCTTCCTGCGGGGGGCGGTGGCTGTTCAGCCCTAATCGCCTCACCGGGCCTGCTCTCTTCTTCCTCAAAGGAGCCCAGCCTCGCCGCCAATGGGGGTCTTTGGTGGCTATGGTGACAATATGGTGACAAGGGTTCTTCAGGATGAAACATTCATCAGAGGACATCATGAGTCCAGGTTTCTCGCTGCTCTGAGAGGACTCCTCTAAGCTGCTCTTTTTGACTCCCCGTGCTGCCGTCATGGGATATGCCATCTTGTTCTCTGCTGCAGAGACCTGTGCATTTGTAGGTCCAGAAGTCAACGATTCTACATCTGCTGAGTAAGTTCCACTATGACTCACCTCTTTCTCACTAGTTGTAAAGAAATCTGAAGTACCTTCTACCTTGACATTCAGACTGTCCTGTTCTTTCTCTGCTCTCAAACGCCTAATTTTGGACAGATGGGTTGGAACATTGTTGAAATCTGGGCTGCTGGATGCCCCAGGACCAACTGGCAATACAGCATCTCCTCCCCTGCCGGAAGCTTGAACCGGAGGACCAGAGTCTTCCTTAAGGGAGGGGAAAACTGGCCTGGGGGCTCCCGTGGCCTCCAAAACAGGATGAGACAGTTCAAGGAGGTATTTTTTCTGAAGGGCAGCCCAGTCTCTCTCACAGGCACTGCCAACATAAGTAAATGAGCTGGCAGAGGCAGCCAACAAGCTGGACACACTAGAGTTAGATGCTTCAGAGACGCCTTGCTGGGCCGTGTCAGGGACCCCACTGGGTTGAAAGGTACCCTCAGCTCCTGGCTGAAGAAGGCTGCAAGGGTCCCAGAGGGACACAGACCCAGAAACGGGATCTGTATACACACTGCTAATGCTGCAAGGCAGCTCAGTGCTGGCCGGGGGCAGTGTGGTGCTGAAAGGCAGGATGGTTTCTGCACCTGGTGACTCGAGTTCTTCTATATTGAGCCAGTATCCAGGCCTTTCCCAACCACAGCGCTGAACCTTCTGGATGTTGGGACTTGGACATAAAGAATGTGGGGGGCTGCTGGGATTGATCTTGGAGTCACAGGAGAACCAAGAATCCATGGACACCAGAGGGCTCCCTCTGGAGGGCTGCACGTCTTGGAGAGTGGTGGCCGGTTCTGTGGGGCTTCCCTCCATCGCCACCTCAGGCTGTTCACAGGGCGGCTGCGGCTGGGGTTCCAGGTAGAATGAACTGCTCACTGGCAAGATGGCATCTAGCCTGGGGGCTCTTCTGTGACTGATGGGACCAAGCCTGCACACTGCCTCCTGGCCCCCTGCAGGCAGAATGGGGCTCTGCAGGCGCCAGAAAGTCTCCGTGGGCATCTCATCAGTTGAAGCAAAGGACGGCTTTCGTTGCCAATGGTCTCCCGGTTCATCTTCAGCATCAATCAGGCTATCGAGGGAAACACTCCTGTGAGCCAAGGTGAATGGTCGACTGCCTGAGGATGTGGTGAAGCCCCTCCCAGAGGCTTGCGCTCTGGCCTGGCCGTGGCCACAGCCGCTGGTGAGGTAACTGTGTCCTGGGTTGTCCCGTGGGTTTCCGGGCCCCTTCTCAGCCAGCGAGTCCTCAGATATTTGGCTGTCGTCACTTTCGGAGTTGTCTGGCTCTGGGAGGTCCCGCTCCTTCCCCTGGGGCTCCTCCAGCTCCACTGGCGCCGGCAGGGCTTTGGCACAGACACAGGAGAGAGAACCTACTGAGTAACCGCTATCTGCGTCAGATACATCACCACCTTTTCCTCTTTCAAGAGCCACTATGGGGCTGGAGTCTGTGAGCGAGGCCATGGTGTCTGGGTCCCCCACACTGTGCTGCCTCTTCAAAAGGCTGCCATGAGACAAGCAAGAGGACTCTCCAACCCTAGCTGCCGGGACCCTCTACTGTCTTTTTGATGCCCCGCTTGGAGACAGTAGTATGGATCCTGCCCAGAAAGTCTTGGCTGCCTTTCCATGCTCAAATGTCTATTTGGATCCATGAAGATGTGAGGAACTGCAAATGGCTCCCTCAACAGCCTCATGGGCCCAAGGTTCCCTTCTGTTCACCACCCTGCTGGTGCGTGGCCTTAGCCCTCCTGGTCTGAGTGGAAGGGGTAAGGACCTTCAGCTTATCACACGGCTTTCGCTTGTGAGCTGACTGGCCCAGAGATGCTAAACTCTGGGCCACCATCTGACGGGGCTGCTTACCCATTCTCTCCACTTCCTGGACACTGGCCGACTCGGAGCTCTCGGTGAGGCACGTACCCAGGGGTGAGGCTCCCTTCCAGGTCAGGGCCTTCCTGGCTATGCCGAAGTGCCCCTCGCCTGAGGAACAGAGGGCATGCTGGATGAGATGCCCTATCCTTGGGGGGTAAGAAGCAGCCAGGGACAGATACTCTTCCGAGAATTGCTCAGGAGGGTCAGCAACAGGTGGTAACGTGGTGGAGGGGTCCCGATTCACGAAAACACTGTGGAGACAAGGAAAGCCATCTCAGAAGTCAAAGGTCCCTACTTCCTGCTGACAGAGGGAATATAAAGTCCCCCTTAGTTTGCTCTGAAAGAGATTTAAATCTAGGCCAGGGCTTTCTTGGTGGTTCAGTGGTAAAGAATCTGCCTGCCAATGTAGGAGACACAGGTTTGATCCCTGGTCCTGGAAGATCCCACATGCTGCGGAGCAACTAAGCCCCTAAGCCACAACTACGGACGGTGTGCTGTAGAGCCTGAGAGCCACAACTATTGAGCCCACATGCCACATCTACTAAAGCCTGTATGCCCTTAGAGCCTGTGCCCCACAAGAGATGCCACCACAATAAGAAGTCCATGCACTGCATCCAGAGAGTAGCCCCTGCTTGCTACAGCTAGAGAAAAGCACATGCAACAATGAAGACCCAGCACAGTCAAAAATAAATAAATAAAATTGTTAGAACTAGGTCCCTATGGCCTTTTGGGCTTCCCCGATAGCTCAGTTGGTAAGGAATCCACCTGCAATGCAGGAGTCCATGGTTCGATTCCTGAGTCGGGAAGATCCACCAGAGAAGGGATAGGCTAGCCATTCCAGTATTCTTGGGCTTCCCTTGTGGCTCAAAGTGTAAAGAATCTGCCTGCAATGTGAGAGACCTGGGTTTGATCCCTGGGTTGGGAAGATCCCCTGGAGAAGGGAGCGGCTATCCACTACAGTATTCTGGCCTGGAGAATTCCATGGACTATATAGTCCATGGGGTCGCAAAGAGTTGGAAACAACTGAGCAACTTTCACTTCATTTCATGGCCTTTAGGGTCTACAGGTACACAAGGCAACTGCATACTAGAGTCTTGGCTCTTAAAGTAGCCCTAGGAACACTGTGTTCCTCATTTTCTTTACTTATAAAAAGGTTGAACGGAATCTGGATTGAATCACGCCTTTAGGGAAAGCTTCCAACATGAGGAACTGAAGAATAACTTAAACGGCTCTACAAGGAGTCAAACAAACAAATCTATAAAGCAGCACATCGTATAGAACTGATCCACTTTAACAAATTAATGACATGAACAAATTATTAAAAAGCAAAAAAGGATGTTTAAAAGAAACTTGAAGGATATAATAACCACATGCAGTGTGTATATCCTACTGGATCTTAATTTAACTATAAATATATATATTTTGAGGCAACTAGAGAAATTTGAATATGGCCTAGGTTTTTTATTATACTGAATAATTATTTTAATTTTGTTGGGTGTGATGACAATATGGTTACAAGGAAAGCCCTTATTTTTCAGAACTGTATATATTTGTTGTAGGATTGAAATGACATGCTGTATAGGAGTTGTTCTAAAATACTTCATCAGCAACATGAAGGAGGGGAGACAAAGCAAATCGTGACACCTGCTATGGGTGACAGGGACATGATTCTTTCCACTTTGTGTTGGAAATGTTTCACATACTCTGAAGGCTATGAGTGATCGGTGAGCAAACATAACACTGACAGACATTAACTGTGCACCTAATATGGGCGAATCCCAGAGCATATAAAGAGGTGGACACAGCCCTCTGTTCCAAGCAGTCTGGGAGACAGCATATCCTCCCCTTGACTGAACATGAGTGAAGGAGAAAGGAAAAAGGAGGATCCCAAGCTGAACCAGGAGTCAGAGAGATAGCGCTCCATGTGCTCAATATGGTAGGGGGTTGAGATGCTGACTGGAGCTGCTGGTCAGGTGAGAGGGGAAGGAGGAAGGGTGTGGGAACAGACTGAGGTTTGGGGCAGCATGAGATGGAGGGGGCAGGACCTACACAAGGAAGCATATGTGGACAGCCATGGTCTGGAGCACAGGGAAGACGAAGCTGAGAGTCTCCCTCAGGAGATGTCACCAAAGAAGCAAGAGCTGCCGCGCAGAGTGGGGCAGGGGCAGTCTTAGAAGATTCCGACTATAGAGAAAGAAGAGTGGTCGGAAGAGAGAGAAAGTGATGAGCAAGAGAAGAGTAGACACATCTTTCCATTTCACAGCTGGAAGAAACTGAGGCCCTGGGAAGGGGCTGTAAACCTCAGCTGGTGCCTCCAGGCGGCCTCCGTGGGCTGTACCTGCGCAACTGGGCTGAGTGCCAGCTGCAGGGCCTTCGGAGGCGCAGAGAACTGCAGCTTGTCAACCTGCTTCTACGATGAGGCCCTGGGACCAGGGTACCAGGGCGGAGGGCTGAGAGGGCGGTCCTCCGAGGGCGGTCATCCTGGAACCAGCACAGCGCCCTGAGCTGCTCAGGTCCCCTGTGGGCCTCCAGCAGCCTCTGCTTCTTGATGATCCCCTCCAGCTTGAATGAGGCTCTTTTCTGCCGGATGCTCCGCTCGTGTCTCTGCAGGAACTGCAGGTGTACCACCCTGCTCTGGCTTTGGACCTGGGGGGACGGCTGAGTCTTGGGGTCTGTCTGGCACCACGAATGAGAAGGCACTGCAGCCTCAAGTTCTTTCTCTGCTGCGTGGTCTTGCTGCGGCTGCTGCCTCGAGCTGGCCAGCCAGGTCTCTCCTCTGAGCAGCCACTGCTGGTCTGCAAACCAAAAACACCCCAAGAGAAGGTCAGCCCTCCCTCCCTCCCTGAACTCAGGCACCTCCGGCCACAGCTGCACCTGCGCAGAGTGAAGAGCTGGCCAGGGTGACAAGGTGGGATGAAGGCCACAGGGCCCTCTGGGGCAAGAGTGACAGCCCCCGTGACCACACATCAAGGGGACGTAGCCCCTGGCCTCCGCAGGGCAGTGGGCACACACACAGGCCAGTGGCAGAGCCTGAACGAATGTGTGCATACAAAGGAGCAGGCAAGAGAACCATCACCCCGATAAGGGGCCAGAAACGGGGCGGTTTCCTTATTCTTGCTTCCAGTCCCTTGTAAGAGCCTCTGGTCTCTAAAAGAGGGGAGAGAACCCCACATACCATAGATTCCATCATATCACAAAGAGAACAAAGGAGAGAACACAGAAGGCTGGGGGGGCACAGAGAGATGGGAACGGCAAGCAGGCTCCTACCGTCTTCAGCCCGCAGGCCGGCGTGCAGCTGTTCCTGCTCCGCTTCCCGTTTGGCTCTGATCTGTCCCACTAGGATCTGCTGCCTCACATCCCCCACGAGGTGCTGCTGCTGCTGCGGAATCTGGGTGCCGTAGGGCGTCTCTCCAGCCCTCAGTGGCCAGTGGTCCTTGTCATTCTGCTCTCCCAGCGCTCTCCTGTCACAGGGGCCGGGTCACCCGGGGGAAATGCAAACCCAGTTCAGTACAAACCACAGTGGCCTCAGTCCCTCCCAGGGAACCCTGCCTTGGACAGGGCGCAGAGGGCTCCAGACTCCTGACACCTTGGGACACACAGGCACGGTGTCACAGGCAGCTTGTGATGTCACAGTGCAGGAGGGGAGAACAGTCCTGAGGTTAGCATATTCCTAGACTGTGGGTTCAGCAGAAACATAAGTTCATTTTGGTTAAGGAAAACAGATAAGTAAAAATGGTTGGTATTTTTGTTGTTGTTGAAAAAAAAATTTAGCTAAATAAAGGAACCCTGTCATTAAAAAGCAAGAAGAAGAGAATAAAAAGGTATATGCTGAAAATGTGGTATAATGAGAGTTGAGCAGAAGTTCTGGAAACATGGTGGGAACAGAACTTCTCATCCACGTTCAGAGCCCACAACTGCACCTCTCGATCTAGTAGTGGGAGGAGAGGGAACTCAGATGTACACTGACCTGCATGGGCCCCAGGGCCCCCAGGGGAGGGCTGGTCTCGGGGAGCGAGCCCTGCAAGAGGGTACAAGACCTTTAGGCTCAACCTCACCTCTCAGAGACACCTGCTGATGTGTTTACTGGTGAAACTGTCCAGGATGTGTTTAGATCCAGTGGGGAGGCATTGGGGACATGTTGGGGATATAAATGAAACATGATTTAGCCATGAGTTGATCATTTGTAGTATAGCTGAATTTTCCAATCATACAAAATTTAAAAAGGTTCTATTGGCTTATACAAGGACTCAGATTCATTCCCCAGCGCCTCTACCAAAAGAAGAAAAAGAAAATTCCAGATTCAGACATGCTTTACTCTGCCACCAGGTTCCTGCAGGACCATGGACAAGTCAGAGCCTTCCTCTGAAGACTGACAGCTTCTCCCCTCATGCTAACCTCTCCCTTGGTCTCACATGCTTCTATGCACGGGCCTCCCATGCTCTTTCTTCAGGACCTCTCCATTCCTGTCATTCAGGTTTCTAAAAGAGCCAAATGCATGAGGCTCTGCTCTCGGGTGAGAGGGGAAGCATCCAGGAAGGTTCAGGGTTTGCTGGAAGCTGACACATAAGCTGGATCTGGCCGTGCTTAGCTTACCCTCGGCCCTCATTCCAGCCCCAGGAGCCCACGGCTCTCAGGCTTGAAGACTCACTCGGTGACTTGACACCAGAAGCGGATGGCAAACAGGCTGAGCAATGAGCTCTGAGGGGTCCACTCCACTTAGGAGATTTACCACCTTGTAGAGAAGAATGAAAGCAGAGGTCCAAAAACTACAGCCTGTGGGCCACATGGTCCACACCTCGTTCTTGTGAATCCAGTTACTGGAACCCAGCCGCACCTGAGGTTTATGTATTGTCTAGGGGGTTTCTGTGCCTTGCTGGCACAGCTGGACAGCTGCAGCAAAGCGTAAAACACAATCTGGCCCATCACAGAAAGTCTGCTACTTTTGACTTAGAAGAAATTAAGATGTCTTAATGTAACCGGAGGAGGACAGTGAAGGATGGAAGGGTGGGAGAGTGGGTCCAGGGACCTGCACCAGTGTGCTCTGGAGAAGATGGGTGCTGCTGCTGTGATCAAAAGGCCAAACACACACAGTGGAGTGTACAGAAAACATGTATGACAGAGGCTAGCAAATGGAATAAAAAGCCAGTGAGCACCACACAAACAGAAAAAACAATTCACACATATATTTGTATGTATCATACCTACATTGCAGCTCCAAATTGTGTCTGACCATGGACATAGATGAATTACAAACCTGAACCCATCAGAGGGTCTTAAGACATACCCAACAAAGATCCAGACCATCAATTACATGAGGCAGGGAGGAGATCTTTATTCTGAATTCCCTGAGTGTTCAGTTTCCTTCCTGACTCTCAGATTTATTGCGTTGGCCAAAAAGTTCATTCAGGCTTTTCGCAAGCTGTTATGGAAACCTGAACGAACTTTTTCTCCAACCCAATACAATCAGCTTCTCCCTAGAAGACAGCTCCTTTACCCTCCCCCAGGGAAAGTTGTAGCTAGCCATCAGCTTCTGCAGACCCAATAGTGGCAGCAGGCCTGCAAGGAGGCAGTCTGGAAGAATCCCCACAGACCCTGCACATTCACCTGAGGAGTCACACACCATCAGACTAAAAACAGCTCCTGTGCTGAGCACATTGTCAAGTTCCCAGAAAGCAACTGAAAAAGAACATGCTGGCTTAATGCTCCAAGTTGGGTAGATGACCAAGGACCAGTCTTCTGTTACCTGCAGTTGATGACCTCTGTCCCTCTCAGACGGTGCCCTTCACCCCGGGGGATCTCAGCACCTCCAGCTACTGCCAGGACTCCACCGGGCCCTCTGGTTGCTCGACTCTGGAGGCTTCCACAGCAGAAACGCAGTTGCACCCACTTGCAGAGGAGACAGTGGCAGCAGCAAGTGTCCCTGGGTTCTAGGCACTTAAGGCTAAGTTCCCCAAATTCCAAATGGGACAATGCTAAGAACACGGATGACAAAGAGTCTTCAAGGACAAACTGCTCTCAGGTCCAGATATCTGTCAAGGGGCCGACCTCCCCTGCTCTGGAGTCAGCACTAGCTTTGCAGGCTCCCAGCAGAGAAGCACCCCACCAGAGAGAGGGGACGGAAAGGAAACCTGGGACACAAGGAGGCTTTGGAGCCTACACCACCCAAGAGCAAATGAGAGACCCTCATGGAGACACACGCCCAGATGGGGAGGCCCACTGACAACGTGCTGGGCCCCTCACAGTCTCTCCAGCCCGTCTAGTGGGTCACAGGCTTCAGCCCACCCCACCCACTGCTGCCAGAGGCTGGTGCACGCTTGCAGGTGATGGCAACTGGGCAGGACCACCCCGGCCCACAGGCTCCCAGGGCTGGAGCTGAAGATGGGATGCAGCAAGGGGGAGAGGCCCGCTTCTCTAGTCACCCTCTGTCCTCTGAATGAAAGGGGTCATTTTTGGTTCTGCTGAAAGGTCACATCCATGCCCATGGGGGTAGAGAGCCTGAGAAGACTTCAAAAAGACAGAAGACCAGTGTTTTTCTGGGGTGAATGGGTCTGCAAGGGCGAGATACTGGGACACGAAAGCAAAAAGGAGGCCACCTTCCAGGGCAGCAGGGCTGTGGGGTATCAGGCACGGAGCAAAGCATTCCATGTGCACCCGCTCCTTCAGCCTGTGTCACAAGGACCCCTGGGAGAGAGATGGTAGCACCCTTACTTAGAGGTGAGTAAATGGGCTCAGAGACTTAGTAGCTTGCCTAAGATCACACAGCTTTCTGTTCTAGAGCCAGGAGGTAAGGCTACTTTACCCAATGCCATTATCTCTTCAAGTATCTGTGGCTCTTTAAGTTGCAGAGCCAGGGCTTCCCTAGTGGCCCTGTGGTAAAGAAGTCAATGCAGGAGACTTCTGTCACTCATCTGGAAGATCCCAAATGACGCAGAGCAAGTCAGCCCATAGACCACAACTACGGAGCCTGTGCTTTACAGTCTGGGAGCTGCCACTTCTGAGCCTGCGTGCTGCAGCTGCTGAAGCCCACACATCCTAGCCCGTGGTCCCCAACAAGAGCCACCGCAATGAGAGGCCCGAGCACCTCAACTAGAGAGTAGCCCCCACTCACCACAACTAGAGAAAAGCCCACGCGGCAACGAAGACTCAGCACAGCCAAAATAAATAAATATTTTTAATTAAAAAAATAGTAAGTTGCAGAGCCATTTCCTGTAAACTTCGGGACTCTGGGAGAAATATAGCCTCAGTGTGTCTTCCCAACAGAACTTACCTATGACAAGGCCTCCTTTCATGACTTAACTACAAAAAGGGAGGTCATTCTGACAAAAAAAGAGCCCTGGCTTCGGTCCTGAGCCCACCTTGGTCTTGATATGCTCCACTCTGTGCCACTCCTCAGGACCCCCAGTCACCCTACACTGACCATCCTCCCTTAGGCCCTGGATCATTGTCCTCCTGGCCTCAGAGCGCTCCTATCCTCACCCAACATCTGGCCATCAAGGTCTGACCCAAGACTCCTCAGCTTCCATCACTGCTCCTGGCCTAAGGAAAGAGCAGCGGGAGCCCGGGGGCTGTCAGAACCCTCCCAGGCACCCTGAGTTCATGGTGCAGGACAACCCCCCGCACAGACACCAGGGCCCCTGCTGACATTTGCTACAGAAGTCCTCAAGGTACAGGACACTGGTGGCTTTCAGAACAGAAGGATACCTGTTTCCAGTATCCAACCCACAAGGCATCTCCATTAGGGAGGGAGCTCCTATGCAGAACTGGACAAAGGATGACTGCGGAGAACAAAAGCAGTTGCTATGAATCACACAGAAAACTGACTCCACACTCCACAGTCTCAAGGCAGGCCAAGCAAGTAGATTAGGGCAGGAGCCCAAGACAGTTTCATGCTGTTCCTAGAGTTCTTGAACCCTTGGTTATGAGGAAAACAGGCTTCTCAATCCTACAATAACTTAAAAAACTCAGAGGGAGCTGGTCCTGGAAGTTAACTGACACACACGTGAGCTCACACACAGGCAAGCCAGAATTCAATGGGATCCATGGAAGGCAGGTCTGAAAGCAGCAACTGATATCCATAGTCACATCACATGTAAATCTTGTGGACAGAGAAGGTGGCGACAGGAAACATCAAGTGATACTAGTACACACCTCTCTCAGTGACGAAGGAAGTGTGATATCCAAGGGGAAGTGAATGAGGACCATGACCACTTCCCTTTCACCCACTGGCTGAGCAGCTAGCTCACCATCCTCAGACCACTCACCCAAGGTGGTTCAGGCCAGGCTTCATTCCCAACTTGGCTGCTACACTCAATTCTTCCCTGCTCCATGTTGTAATGAATTAAAAGCAAAACCAATAGGCTCCACAGCAAAACGAGCAACTCTCTCTCACCTTTCCTTCCAAAGCAAAGGGCAGAGACACATCTGGGAGGTGGTGACATCTCCACCCAAGTCCAGCCACTCCAGAGAGCCACTGCCGCCAACAGCCTCTCCGACCTGTGGACAAGGAAGGAAGCCTCATCACCTCCATCCCAACAGACAGAGACACAGCTCAGCTGCCCCTCCAGAAAGATGAAGCAGGGAGGTCAACAGCCACGTGGAGAACACCATGTGCTCACCTGCCTCCTCTGCCGAAGGACGGCGGCCTCTGCGGGGTGGTTGAACCGGAACTTCTGTGCTTTCCCCAGGGTTATGACTGCTCCTGTGGCATAGACACCAAACTAAATTCAAGTCACAGTTCAAGTTCTGAGTACAGTAATGTGCAGGGCACTGTTCTGGGGGACAAAGTCCTACCCTCAGTAAGGTGATCATTTAGCTGAGTCCATAAGATCTGCACTCCCTGGATATCGCTCAGCATATGCATTGAACTAATGAGATGAACAGGAGAAGCTCTGGTATTCCAGGGGAAAGCAAGTGGAGCTCCAGGTGGAGCAGTCAGGGAATGCTTCATGGAAGAAGGGGTACCCAAGTTCACCCAAAAGAACACAGAATCTGAATAGATTAGTAGTAGTAGTAATAATGGCATTAATCACCATAATGAGTATTTTCTGAGTGAAAAGAACACTGTTAAGAACATTACACAGATTAGCTCAATCAATCCTCACAATGATTATATTATTATCCCCATTTTCTAGATGAGGAAATTGAGGCTCAGAGACATTCCCAAGGATGTACAGCAAACACAGGTACAAATTTCAGAGAGTCATTCTCTACTCTGGGGCCCTGGACTTGGGGTTTCTCTGTTTACGGGAAGAGGACCGTGTTAGGAAATCTTCAGGTCCCTGGGTGCAGAGGCTGGGGGTTCCATCCTTAAAGCCTGCTTCACTGAGCCCTCTGGGTCTGGTTCCTGAGAACGGAGCTGGCCCGTCACTCATCCCGGCATAAACTGGGCTGTGGGCAGTCCTACCTTGGGTGAGACGGCAGGAGGAGGTGACCTCTCGGCCGTTGACCGTGCAGCGGGCGCCGCGGGCAGGGCGCAGCATGACGACCCCACGGGCGCTGGTGATGGTGCAGTGGTCTCTCTCGATCCACTGACCCTGCAGGACTACAGACGACAGGGGCGTCACTCGGGTGGAGGCACAGCCCAAGAGGCACCTCCGCCACTCTCCTGATGAGATCAGAATCCACTTCTGGGAGATCTCACATCATGACAGGAGAGGAGGAGCCACCACCTGAAGCCATCCAGACCCAGATGGCCCCACGGTGTGCGCCTCCTCCTCTCGTGTCCAAGACCCCCAGCCTGGCAGCAAAAGAGCAGCAGCCCTTCAGAACTCCAAGATTCCTTCCTCTCCGAACCCTCAGCTTCCTCGGAAGAAACCCGTCAGGCATGAACACCTACACAGAGCACCAGACCCATACACTCTGTCACTCACCGATGTCCTGTTCCTGCTCTGAGTCAATCCTTCCTATTTTTGTCGTCCCCTCCTAAAGGGAAAAACAAAGCCATTTTAAGGAGAATAAAAAGGGATGTAGCCCTGTCCCAAAGGAGAGTCCACCTGTTTGAGCACCATCACTGTCTCCCCATGCCCACCCCAGCTTCCTTTCCACACCACTTATCAGCTTTGGTCCAGGCTGCTCTGACTGCTCTGCCCACTCACTATGCAGCCAGGATGCCCCTGGGAAGGTGTGGGCAAAAGAGTGCAGGACAGAGCATCCCCAGCTTTTTGCAGAGTGAATCCCAGGGACGGGGGAGCCTGGTGGGCTGCCGTCTATGGGGTCGCACAGAGTCGGACACGACTGAAGCGACTTAGCAGCAGCAGCTAGAACTGGTCAGCTCCTTTCTGCCCTGTAGCTTCGAGTTAGGCAGTCAGAGCTTCTCTAAGTCTGAGGAAGAGGGCACACGAGTATGGCTTTCTCCCAGGGACTAAGGTTAGTGTGGCCCAAGTTTGGTCCAAGTCAGTCTCAAAGAGACATGCTTTCTATGACGATGTATGGAAGCACAGGATTTTTACCTTCTTGATCCGTAGATGAAGTTTAACAGACACCAGATTCTAAGAAGAGTAAAACACAAAAAGGAGGAAAGCACATCTAGAATCAAAAAAGACTGAAAGAGAGTATAAGAGAAGAGGTGGAAACTGGAGTTAGTATCAATGAATCACTGGGTAAGTAGAAACTCTAACAATGCAGTTTAAGAGCACACAGCTCTGTTTGAGGAAGGCAGTGACATGGCAACAGAGATGCGAGTCTAGAGCTGAGTCTAGAGCTGTATTTATCATTTACTAACTATCCCCTATGTACAGGGCACCGTGCCGAGTGCTTTACAGACATCTCTCATTTAATACTTTAACACCCAGAATGTAGCATTATGATCCTCTGCATAGAGGAGGAATCTGAAGCTGATAGGAAATAAGCTGCCCTGGGAGCCCACATACTACACAGGACAACCCTGGCTAGAATTCATTTCTCTCCTGGTCCTGTGCCCATGCTATTCCAACCTCACCAAACCACCTGCCTGGTGACTGATGCTTTTTAAGTGACTAGAAAGTTCCATGTTAGGCTTCACTGTCAGCAGCCAGAAGGCAGGGCCCTGCAGCTCTCCCAAAATTGCTTGTGAAGAAAGACTCCTGGAAGTAATAAATGAGGATCTGGCTCCCTCTCAAAACCCACAACCCTCCAGAACCCAGGCTTTCCTGATCAGCCACTGAGGATCACACAAGCCAATGGATGCCAGTCTCCAGACTCCACCAGCCAGAATGGAGGGAGAGGAGTCAAGACTGCTCTCAAGGGGTCAGGGTCAGCCCCAATGATGAGGCACGTCCCTCCCAAAGGGATAAAGGCCACAGCACATCCCAGCCTCTGGATATGCAGAGCAGAAACCACCCAAAACGTGCTGGCATCTCATTTAAAGTGGGATGAGCTGGCGCCTGCTGCCCCTCTGCTGCTTTATGCCTCTTTCTTGGGAGGAACAGCAGCACAAAGGCAGTTATGAAGGTAAAGTCCAGGATATCAATAACCTGTGCTCCTTCCACCCTTTCCGCTGCCCACTCCCCACCCATGCTGCCTCCCAAGATGACTCAGGCAAACAGCTCCCAGGCCACTGTTAGGGACTAGGTCTGGGTCTGGAACCAAGTTAACAAATAAAAACAGAGAATCTAGAATGACTACTGTTATACTACTACCTAACCCAGGATGCAAACAAGTGAAAAGGAGGGAAATGGGTAAAAACCCATAGAAATGCAGGATGAGAAGTAGACTGAGAGACTTCCCTGGTGGTCCAGTGGTTATAAATCCACTTTTCAATGCAGGGGATGTGAGTTCAATCCATGATCTCGGAACTGAGATCCCATGTGCCTCAGGGCAACTAAGTCTGCACGTTGCAACTAGAGAAGCCCACGCACTGCCTCCTCCCCACCAAAAGCAGACTGGGACCTCATCCCCAGGTTCATTATCAGTGTGTGAGGGAGTGAGCGACCCTCAGTGCACTGATTCGGCTAGGACGCCAGTGACCCAGGATCATCCATCTCTTGCCTCCAGCTCAATCTGCCCTTCATCCTTCAACCCTCTGCTGCTACCTAACTCTGTCACATGATGTCTGCCTTCATCTGCTCACTCCACATCCAGTCAATGTATCACATCAGCTCTACTCAAATACTAAGCGTTTTATTCCATCTGGTCTCTCCTGACCTCCAATCTTTCCCTTTGGCTCTGACTAATGGAACGATTGATTGCATTTGGTGTTTAGATTTGTTATTAAAGTCACAGCCGTTTCTGCCTGGGGCGTTTTCACTGAGATGATTTATGCTGTGTCAAAAAAGAAGCTACTTTAACTTTCTGTCTGGGAGGCTCAGTCTCTGACAACTTCCCCGAGGCTCAACCTCAGAACACAGACTTGCTAATAAGTGCATGAGCCTTGCTGAAGTCTCCCCACCACAGGCACTGCAGCAACAGCAACCTAATTTCTCCAGGGATAAAGGCAGCATCACACATCCCCATAAACTCTGTTCCTTTAAAATGTCAGTTTAGCATGCTGAGGACAATTATGAAAAATGCAGATTGGATTTCCAGTGAGCATAGGGCTCCTGGCCACATACAATATGTTTCCCTGGTGGCTCAGATGGTAAAGAATCTGCCTGCAATGCAGGAGACGCGTGTTTGATCCCTGGGTTGGGAAGATCCCCTGGAGAAGGGAATGGCTTCCTACTCCAGCATTCTTGCCTGGAGAACCCCATGGACAGAGAAGCCTGGTGGGCTCCAGTCCATGGGGTTGCAAAGAGTCAGACACAACTGAGTGACTAACACTTTCACTTCAATGTATGTTTAGCCCATCCGTGGGGACTGTCCTTCTACATTAGGACAAACACTTTTGATGAGGACAGGATATAAGACTCTACCTACCATGTGTCACTAACTCTCAAAATGCTTCATTTAGAAGTAAGGTGGCCTCCAGGTGACAAAGAACCAGGGGAGCCAGGTCCTTGCAGAAGGGCTTCACGTCACTCTTTTCTCTGGGTGCTTGAATGTCACACCCTGGTCACCCTTAGCCCACCAGCTCTCCAGAGTTCTGCACACTTTTTTTGAACTTCCTAAATCAACTTCCTCTCTCCTCTCTTCTTTCCCAGGCAAACCTAGTAATGGAGAAGGGGAGTTGACTGAAGTGGGAAAGTACTAGAAGGGAACTGTTTCTTATCCTTTGATCCCTTTAGTCCCTGAAAGCCGTCTGTGAGCTGCCTGTATCTGCGGGGAGTGCTCAGGAGTGCTGGTGGAATTATGAGGTTGGGATTTCACCTCCAGGAGTGCACTCCTGTGCTTTAGGAAGCCAGAAAAGGAATATAAGCAGCATCTTTCTTATTTTAAATGAGGAAACTGAGGCACAGAAAGCAAAAACAAGAGCGACAGTAGTAGCAGCTGAAAACCAAATTCTGATTTCTAGTCTTCTGCTCTATTCATACAAAAATGAAACATATCACAGTTGGTGGGCAGGCCTGGCCTCCTGAGGGCAGTTCTGCCACCTCGGCTGCCACTGGCCTTTCCCTCCTGCACCTCTGGGGCCTGCAGCTGAGGGAGAGAGCGGGCACACCCGCCTGCTCACCTTGAGGTGATAGAGCACGACACCTGTGCTGAGCACGTCATCCTCCAAGGCCATCAGGTGTGGCAGGCTGGAGTCAATGACCAGCCCAGCCCGCCTCCTGTTGATGTCCACTCTGTAATGTTCCACGAGATCCTGCCACTCGTTCCACTTCCGGGCCCAGTCTTTAGACAGCTGGTCTGTCTGTGGAGACAGAGGGGTGGTCTTGGACACTCAGAACGGGGAGCAGACAAAGGGTCCAGTGCCACCCTGGCCCATTTCTGGGCATCACTTCCTCACTTTCCTCCCCGAGATTATTCGAGGCCCCACACAGGCCCTTGCACCTCCTCTGTAAGCTCTCTGTGTTTTCTAAGTTTTCCTCAAAAGTTACCATTAATTTTATAAATAGAAACTCAAAAAATGTTATTTTTAAAGTTTTCTGCAATGAGCATGTATTGTTTTTAGGGGGGAAAAAAGCACCATAAATGCTATTTTTAAAAATTAGTTGGGGGACTCCCCTGGCAGTCCAGTGGCTAAGACACTGTGCTCCCAATTCAGAGGACCTGGGTTCGATCCCTGGCGAGGGAACTAGATCCTATATGCCACAACTAAAAATTCCTGCATGCTGAAGGTCAAAGATCCTATGTACTGAAACAAAGACCCAATGCATCCAAATAAATAAATAAATATCAAAAAACAAATTAGTTGGGATGTGAGTCAGACATCTTGTTTAAATTCCCTTCTTTCCACGACCATCCTGTGTGATCTACACTGAGAGTCCTCTTGTGACCTAACACTTCCAGAGGTGTACCCTTGAGTTCTAATATAAGCTTGCGCACCCCTCAAAGTCCCACAAAGCACCAAGAGAGGTCTCCCCAGGGAGAATGAAGGCTACAAAACTGGTCCGAAAGACCACGCAATAACAAAGTAGCAACAGCATTAACAATAAAACACTGAGGGTTTACTATGGATCAGGAACAGAATTTTCTTTTCTTTTTTAGGAACAGATTTTAAAAATAAATATGCTAAGGCTTAAAGGCCTTATGCTAAGCCCACTGGGGAAATGTGAAGGAACAATGTTGAATAAAGGGTCCTTTTTCCTTCTTGTGGTGGAAATTGATGTCAGGGCAGGAAACTTCCTTTGGGAGTGAAGAACTGAGGAAGGCCAGAAAAGGAACTGGATTCAGCTAACTCCTAATCTCATAAAGAAGAAAACTTAAATTTTTAAAAAATTTATTTTTAGTTAAGAAAAAAGAAATCATGCCAAGCTTAGGTACAAGTATTTTATGATCCTAAAAATATTCTTTTCTCTTTTTTTGGTCATGCCACACGGTTTACAGGATCTTAGTTCCCCCACCAGGGACTGAACCCATGCCTTCTGGAGCAGAAGTGCAGTCCTAACCACTAGACTGCCAGGGAATTCCTGAAATATTCTTTTTAATGTTATAATCATTAAGTTGAAGTTTGAAAGCTACAGGATACCTATGAAGGGCTGGCAGAGGTGGGTGGCAGGGCACACTCCCCTGAAGGTGCTTCAGAGGACACTGCCCCTCTGGCGACCTTTATCACCCACTCCTACCTGCCTAAGGTTGTAAGACCAGCAAGTGACAGGCTCAAGTCCAGTCTGCCAGCCTGTATAATGTAAAGATGTTAATGAGCCTGGAATGAAGCAAAAATCAGAACATATAGCTAAACACAGAATTTTTGAGAAACTTCTGAATATCTGAAGTAGTCTTCAAGTTTTGTTTGAGTAACAAAATACTGACATAGCCAGGATACTGTAATAACGTACAAGGATGATGCAGTAGAACACTAGAAACGGGGACATTCAGTTACAAGACCTAAATCCAACCTGTCACCAAATAATGCCTACCACTTCTTCCTTTTAAATGTCTCCAGGAATTACCACTTGATTCAATCTCCCCAGATATACTCACCCTCACAGGGTCACAACAACCGTCTCTTTCCTTGTTGGTCTCTCTGTTTCCAGGCCTCAATCTATTCTACATGCAACTGTCATATTAATTTCCCCCATATACTCCTTTATCATGTCACCAACTTGGTTCAAGAAGCTATGCGTAACCTGCTTATGTCAAGTACACACCTCCTAAACCGGCCCTCTCCTCCCCTCAGTGCCTCTACCAGGAGCACGTATCCTGGCTGGCTCCAAGGTCCTCACGCTGCATGTGTCCACATGGTCTCTCACACCAGCTCTTCTCTCACTTCCGTGGCTTTGCCTCTGTCATCCCTCCCTTACCCTGACACCTCAGCCCATCTCCTTACCTAACAGACCCTATCCATCCTCCAAGGTCTAGTTCAAATTCTCTGCCTTCCTACTCCAGCAGTGAAGCTGTCAATGAAAGTTCCAAGTCACCATGATTTCTCCTTCTGAAGCTCTTTCCATTTAACTCATGTGAGTTACTGCATTGAATCATTCTCTAAATGTGCTTCCAACTAGACTGCAAGCCACCTGAGGGCAGGGACTTCTCTGTGTCTCCTGCAGCATCACGCTGAACACCTATCTGGTGCTCAGTGAATACCTGTCATTCAGTTGATTTACTTATTTACCAGAAAGTCCCCTGGACTGCAAGGAGATCCAACCAGTCCATCCTGAAGGAGATAAGTCCTGGGTGTTCATTGGAAGGACTGATGCTGAAGCTGAAACTCCAATACTTGGGCCACCTCATACGAAGAGTTGACTCATTGGAAAAGACCCTGATGCTGGGAGGGATTGGGGGCAGGAGCAGAAGGGGACTACAGAGGATGAGACGGCTGGATGGCATCCCCGACTCGATGGGCATGAGTGTGGGTAAACTCCGGGAGTTTGTGATGGACAGGGAGGCCTGACGTGCTGCGATTCATGGGGTTGCAGAGAGTCAGACACAACTGAGTGACTGAACTGAACTGAATTCTTTTCTAGGCTACTGTACTGTCTGAAAGGAGTTATCATGATCCCCTGCTTTCTGACAAAGCAGTCAGAAAGCCAATCAGCAGCCCTAAGACAAACATCCCCGAATTCAAGGCTCAATGGAGACAAAAGTTTTCTCCAGATAGAACCTCTCTGTCCTGATGAGGGAGCAGTCCTGGCCCAGGAATGATGGAGAGAGGTCAGAACGGTTCCCAAGGTGAAGTGAAGCACAACAGAGCGCCCCCAACATACCCACCTTCAATTCATTTTGGAGAATCAGCTCCTTCAGGTTTTCATCCTTTCCCTCATTCAATGAATGGAAGTTTCTCTGCACAAAGAGAGAGATGTGCTTCATGGGCCCCACCCTTACTCTTGGGAAGGAAAGGTGCAGATAAAGGAAAGACGTTATTCTTAAAATCAGAAGCAAATCAGACGGCTAAGTATTGGGCTCAGAGTGGAACAAAGAAGGGGAATTCGAGGCAATTTTTTCTGGAGGGCCTCGTATCCCGTATCTGCCCACATACAGAACAAGGGTCATGTAGGCAGATGCCCTTTGGACAGCAGAGATGAAGCATCCCTTCTGAAACTACACAGGTAATCACAGTAACTCCCATCCTGTCTCTGCTCCCACTCTGCTCTTCAAGCACCCCCTGACTGAGGGCACAGAATGCAGCAGGGCTCAGATCCTCTGCAGAAGAGAAGGGTCTCCTGAGGACAGAAAAGTCCTGACGCCCACATACCAGCTCAAAGCTCAGCAGCATGGCTTTCAGTCTCCCAATCTCTTCCCTGAGTTCTCTGATCAACTTCACATTTGCATCCTGAAACACAGAGAGAACTCAGTCACCACTGACTGATAGGAGGGCTCAAATGGCTATGAGGTGCTACTCGCAATGAGCTTGGAAGAAGCAGATTACTCATTTGGAGTAATTTCTAGGGCAGTCTTTTCAAAGTGTGGTCCCAGGACTAGCAGGAACTTCACCTAAGAGCTAGTGAGAAATACGAACTCTGTGGACCCCCATTCCCCACAATGCCCCAACACCTACTAAATCATAAAGTCTTCAGGGCTGGTTTAACAAACCGTCCAAGTGATTCTGATACACACTGAAGTTTCACAATCACTGCCTTAGAGCAGGACATCAGGCAGGTAATATGAACGCAAGAGTATGCTAATCTTCCAGTATTAGGTGCTAATCTTCCAGTATTAGGTGTGACTAAACTTAGTGCATAATTATTGATGCACTGCCCTTTAAAACAGTCCATAGATGAGCTCTACATGGGCCATCCATTTGTAATACCTGCCCTGGAATTTTTTACAAAAACTGCAAAGCAGGTGAGGAACTTTTAGAATATTCTCATCATTAATTCAACTTTAAAGGCTAAAAAACTGCTCATATGCCACTTTTAGCCCAAAACAGAGATGTCACTGCAATTTGCATATGAAAAAAGGCATAAAGCAACATAAACTCAGAATAAAGGCAGTAAACGCAGACACTTTTAAGTGAGCTTTCCTCTAGTGGCAATAGTGTACCAGGGATTTTCACATCAGTGGCCATAGGGAAATACCTAAAATAAATTATTTTAAAAGGCAACTGGATGAAGCCAGTCGGGATATGAGAAAAGAAAGAATTTTGCTCCCTCATCACTTGGAGAACAAGTCTGGCCACTGGGGTGAGTACAAAGAGAAAGAAGTCAATGAGAGGAAAACAGGAGAACTTGGTGTGAGCTGTTCGAAACCAGGACTTCAGAGGGAGGGCTCACCTCATTTACCCTAGGCTTGTTGATGATGTTTTTGGCATTGGATGCATATCTCAATGTGCTCATGGTCTCACTGTAGCTAGTGTGTGCAGGAGACACGGCTGGGGTAGAAGCAGAAAGTTAAAACACACACCGAGCCCTTCCCACCCAGCCCATGACCACTGATCTTGCTGCTATCGCCCAGGCTGAACAAGACCCTTGATGAAATGGGCAGCCGTGGTCCTCTCTCTGAGGCAGAGCACCAGTCCCAACACAGAACCCACTCCACAGCCCACTCACTGGCAACCATGATGGTTCTGGAGTTGCCTCCGAGGCTGTCCTTCAGCAGCCAGGTCAATACTGAGTCCCGGTAGGGGATGTATGACTGCCTCCGGGAGGGTCCCCCTCCACTGCTGGCCCCGGAAGGAGAGCTAGGGAGCCCGCTGTCACCACCATCGCTCGCTGCACTGGTGAGGCTCTGGCAGCTGTTGAATACCTGAGAGTTCTGGGCTTAAAAGACAATAATAAAAGTGGAAGAAAAAAAAAGGAATTATGAAACAAATGCATTAAAACAAAGCAATGGCTGGAGAACAGACATCATACTCCCTAATCCCTTTCTGTCCATGTCAGGAGGCTTTAAATGTGGGCCCTGAATTCAACCCTGGATTCAAGCAATGGAATATTTAAGACACGTAATTTCCCAGTCTCTCTTCTTTTTGGAATGAGAGTGGTAGGATGAGGGTGATGTTGTAATCAAAAACCATAAATATCAATTTTTCATGCCCCAAACCGGAAGGTAAACTTTATCAAAGAGAACCTGCTAAGTACCTACCCTATTCTGACAAAATGAAAAACATATGATTGTTTTCCAAAGTCTCCCCCCAACTCTGGTCCTCCAGGCTGCTGGCAAAATACCTAAGGTGGAGATGACGATTCCCAAAGTCACAAGAGACTTGTTGATATTGGCTCCTTCAGTAATCCGGTCCTTACAGTAACTGGGATCTGCTCTTTCACTGAAACACATTGGATGAAAACAGAAACAGAAGCAAACAAGAAGACACTATCCTTTTAACACTGTTGAAAAACACTAACCATTGTGTTGCACTTCATGTAAAAGATCCATATAATAAATTCCCCTTAGAATTCAGTTCCAGAAATAATGTTACCGTCATGTCATGAACTGGCATCCTTCTACATTCTCAGGCAATAAAAATCAAATACTTCATTACATTTGGCTGTCAGAGAACTTTGAGCTAAAAGTAATATTCATTTACTGTAATGATACCAATATAGCTTTCTGTTATATACTAGTCTCCTTTTCTTTACTGTTTTAATTTCACATGTTAATGACTTTATGGTATCTGGGTCATTAACAGTTTCAAATTCCTTATTCAAGTAAATGGGAAATATTAAAAATTCACACTTCCAGTTGGCTGATACACTTTCTTTCAGAAAGCACTTAAGCTTTTAAGAGAGCACTGTGCCACATTAATTATTTAACAGTTTTAAAATAAGAAAATTTGCCTTATTTCATGTTACACTTTTTTCTGACTACATTATTCCTGACAATTTCTTCTTTCTAGATATGTAAATAAGTAAAATTCAAGCTTTCATCTAATACTTTTTTAAAAGGCAGTATCTTATCCCCAATACCACAATGTTTTTTAAAGTGTTTCTTTTTTCTGAAGAGATGTGTAGAGCTGCATAAAATCAATACTAGGTCAAAGGAAAAAAGTGTGTTCAGTCACCTCTACTTAAAGCACCAGTTTTCAATCTTGGCTGCACTCAGCCTCACTCCCCTTGACTCCACTAATAGTCTCATTTATTTCATCTGAGGTGCAGCCGAGGCACTGGGAGCTCTAAAAGGTCCGGGTGACTTTAATGGGCAGCTGAGATTGACAGCCCCTAACGCAGAACTCCTCAGCCCTAGAAAACTGCAATTTCTTAACCTATCAAACAATTTGTTTCTTTTGTAATTTTCTCAGGATGATTGATACGTGTAAAAGGTGGGGAAAAGTTTATTCCCTGTAAAATGGGCAAGAACAGGGTCCTTGTCAAGGAAATAATTCCACCTGGTTTTGAGATCCTAATTACCTGCCTGCTAGGTCCACAAGGTTGATCTTGCTAGCGATTTCAGAGGGGAGGTTGTTCTCCAGGAATGCCTGAGGGAGGAAATAGATTTAAAGAGTGTCATTTGGAATGATGTGTTGTTGTTTTCCCCACAGACACCCTCTTAAGACAGTATTTGGATTTTTAGCCAATTCACTCAAGAAATCTGTATTCTAATGTCCTCTGAACCAGATGAGCTCTCAATATCTGACAGGTACAATCAGTAAGCCCTAGGTTCTTCCTTCATTAAAAATACGAGCAAAACTTCCATAGAGTAGGTAGGCAACCTCCTCCCCACTCCCCACAAAGTCTCCTGAGCACAATTTACCAGGTAAATGCTCAACTCTGCTGTGGGAGGCTCTAGCTCATCAGTAGAGATCCACAGCAGGTGGCGGTGTGGTGGGCAGGGATCCTGATTGGTTTGCCTCTTGTTAACCTGTCACGGGCTTCCCCGGTAGCTCAGACAGTAAAGAGTCCGCCTGCAATGCAGGAGACCTGGGTTTGATCCCTGGGTCGGGAAGATCCCCTGGAAAAGGGAATGGCAACCCACTCCAGTATTCTTGCCTGGAGAATCCCAGGGACAGAGGAGCCTGGTGGGCTGCCGTCCTTGGGGCCCCAAAGAGTCAGACACGACTGAGCGAATGATACACACATGTACACACATAGAGAAGTTTGATGGTTTCTCTCAATTCCATTTATTGGAAGTTTTCTCAGTAATCTGAATTGTATTTCCATATGATCCAGATACATTTTGTGCAAGAAAAAAAAATACCAGTTGCCTATTTCTCCTACGACCTTCTAAAGTCTTACAGCATCTCTAACAACTAACAGCTATGACCTTGGAGGTCTGTGAAACCAGTGGTTCATGGCTGAATATATGATGCACTGGAGCCAGGAAGGACCAGTCATAGATGGGGGTGATGTGCAGAGGCTGACGCCAATCTGGTTACATTGATTAGTCTGGCATTATGTNTTTTTTTTTTGGCTTTTCTTTTTATTTACTTAATAGTGTCTTTTGAAGAGCAGAAGTTTTAAATTTTGACCCATTCCAAATTGCAATTTGTTCTTTTGTTCAGTTTATATTTATAGTGCCATATCTAAAAATACCTTTGCCTAGTCCAAGGTCACAGGTTCTCCCATGTTATTTTCTATTATACAAGTTGAATGTTTCAGGTTTCACATTAGTGTCTATGATCCAGTTTGGTTAATTTTTTAATAAAATATACATTAATGATTTTCAACATGTTTGGGGATTGTTTTTGGCCATTATTTTTTTATTTTTCTTATGCCTATTTTCTCTTCTTTCTTTCTAGGATTCCCACTACACTTAGGCTGACACACCTGATATCCCACAGGTCTGTGCGGCTCTGTTCATTCTTCTTCAAACCGGATGATTCCTATTGTTCTGTCTTCAACTTAATTAATTCTTCTGACATCTCAAATTGACTCTTGAGTCCCATTAGTGAATTTTTCATTTCTGTTATTATACATTTCCAGAATTGCCCCCTTTAAAATAACTTCTATCATTTTATTGAAATTCCCTTGAATCATAATCATCGTGTTTTTCTTTAATTCTTTACAACATGGTTTCCTTAAGCTCTTTGAACATATTATATTAGCTGCCTGGAAGTCTTTGTATGCTAAATCCAACAAGTGGAGCACTTAAGAGGCAGTTTCTAGTGACTGTTTTGTTTTCCTAGGTATGGGCTGCACTTTCTTATTTGTTTTTGCATGTCTTAATTTTTGGTTGAATACCCGACATTTTGGATAACCCCATAACAACCCTGGATTCTGCGCTTTTTCCTCTTGAAGGTGACAGTAATTGTTGCTCTGTCTGTCTGGTAACCTGCCTGGACTGAAGCTCGAAAATCTGACTCCTCTACAGCATGCAGCCAAACAGGTCTCTATTCAGCTTTTTTCCTTTAGTTGTTTTTAATTTTAGGCTTGGCTTCTAGGGGGCCACCTGTGTCTGCATACCTTAATGTTCAGCCAAAGACTGGTCAGAAATTGCAATTAAACACCTTGAGGCAATAGGACTTTTCTTCTCTGTTGATGGATCTATGTGTGAGCTGGGAAAGTCACTAAAAATTCTGGCCATTTTAAGTTTACTCCAGCATTCACTAGCCAACAGGGCCCTCTTGTGTCTCTTCTGCACAAACGTGCAGATTCTGTCAGTCTGGGCTGTATGGGCACATAGTCTCTGATGCATATGTGTACAGCTTCCATTCAACCCAGGGTATGTGAAGGTCTTATCAAGCTTCCTGTGGCCATATCATCTCCCAGAATTCCCAGTTAAACCCCCAGATAATTTTCCAGTTCACTTCTTGCCTGAAGCAGACCTACAATCTCAGGTTAATGGAGCCACTGATCTCCTTGTTAGCTTGCCACCAAGATCACCCACTTTAACTGACAATGCTCCCAATCAAGTGAACCCCTCAAGCAATGGCAGCAACCAAGCTGCTGGCTTCCACCATCTGCCCTTCTCTGATTGAACTTCCTCACTGACAGAGATTGGGGTGTGAGTGGGGATGGGAGCAGCCCAAGGGAACATGCCATACATTTGTACTCTTACCAGAAATTCAGTAGCTCTCTTGAATACATGCTTCTCAGTTTATATGGCTTTGATCTATTCTGAAATACGTATTTTGACAGTTTCGTCTAGGTTTATTGTTGCTTTGGGGGATAGGATTTGTTAACCTCCTCACTCCATCATTATAAAAGTGAATCTTCTACTTTTAAATTTTAATGTATATTTTCATTTCAATCTTGCTTTTTATTTTAAATGCCCAGACTGATCATATGGATATGAAAGTGTTTTGAAATATTAAAAGTAAAATGTAAGTCAAAGATACTTGATTAGTCTTTATGCAATGCCTCTACCCCTTCTGGGTGAGGAGCTTAGTAGATTGTGTGTAGGTCCTACTTATGATATTAGGTCATATCAAAGGACCTATAAAGGGAAGGGTAGAAAGAAAGAAAAACAGGAAGATGGAATATTAGTCAAAAGGAACAATGAAAGAAAGAAGTCTGAGCAAACATTTAAATGGTAACCAACCTGTGTATAGTAGATAGTGAAGATGGCGTGGGATCTGCTGCTGGCTTCATGAACATGGGTTGCTGCTGTGATTCTGTGTACACAAGGGAGGAAAATTAGGACAAGATTGCTTATGCATGGTGGATCCTTAAGGATCCATGCGGAACACAAGAAATGTTAGTGCTGAGGTTCACAAGTGAGGATCACAAAACACCAGTATTTAGTCTTTTATAGTTAGGAGAATGGTCCCAAGAAAGCAGAAGCAGTGTTCCAGGTACTGATACCTGAGAACAACAGTGAGTGTAACTTCATACTAAACCACAATTAGAACTTTTTTTAAGCAATAGAAGTTAAAAATCAGAATGGAAAAGTGTAATACTAGAGAGTCATCAACCTAGAAGAATATCCCTAAAACAGACCTATTTAAATTAGACAAGTAGATATGGAGAACTTGTTGGAGAAGAAGTCTCAAAGACAGTGAAAGTCAGTCATTATTAAGAATAATATCATGGTGCCAGAAAGGGCTTTAAAAATGAGGTCTTGAATTACATGAACATCATGCTTAAGCCAGGTGAAGAATGCACAGTCTCCCTGAGAAATTCATTCCAATGCTGACCTTTAAAGCCTGAAGAGTCTTCTCTTTATCTAAACCTAAGTCAGTCAATCTGGCTTCAGTTTAAGACCAACTCATTGACTTCTGTTCTCAGAGAAGTTACAGAATTGAAGAAAAGAGTCAAAATCTAGAAGCTGGTCAACTGAAGGATAAAAAGGACAAGGTGAAGCCTCACACTTAACAATCAAGGAACTCAGGGTACCCTGAAGACAGGAAGCAAGTACTTCCAGGATAGTTCTATGAGAACCAAGAAACAGAAGTTTAAATGTAAATCTTTTCCTTAACAGGGGGCATAGAAGACTCCAATTTCCCCAGTTTTTTTTTTTCTTCAGATGAAAAAGGCTATTTGGGGGGCATATATTAATAACATTGTGGGTATTCCATAGTAACTAAAAATATAGAGTATTATCATAATTTACAATAGCTTTTAGGAGAGTCTACAGCACCTAGTATTTCATAGCTGATTCTAAACAGTCTTTTTGAGTAAACTTTACAAGCTTCCCAGATGGCACAGTGGTAAAGAATCCACCTGCCAATGCAGGACATGCAAGAGACATGGGTCGGGAAGATCCTCTGGAGAAGGAAATGGCAACCCACTCCAGTATTCTGGCCTGAGAAATCCCATGGACAGAAGAGACATGGGGCTGCAAGAGAGTTGGACATGACTTAGTGACTCAATAACAATCACAGTGTGCAAAACTTTCCTGGAAGAAAAAATGGTTTTCTGAAAAATTTTAAACTATATTGTACTACATCATCTCTATCAAGGAGAGGACAATGCAGGCAAAAATCGTTTCTTTGATGAAAATAGCAGAAGTTGTGTATTATAAGACAAAACATAGGGTAATTCTCTGGGCTTACTACCTAATATTACTATATCCAGGACAAACGCCAGCTTCACCACCAGTGAGAAGAGCACTAAATCTCAGCCATGTCCCCCTACCCTGGGTACATTTTTGTTCTGACAAACGCCTCCTGATTGTGAATGTGGGGAGCTGCTGAGAGAATCTATACTGCAAAAGGGCAGTGAGAACACAGGAAAGAAGAATGAGACTGAAAAGAATGACAGGGACAAACAAACCTGTTACCTGTTTGCTATTCCCTCCTCCAAGAGTTGAATTACTTGCTTATAGTTGGTAACTACGTGTTGAGATAAACCTATCAGATTTGTGAGGAGGAAAAAAGAGATTAAATAAAATTTTTTGGCAAAGTTTAACCTTTTCTTGTAGGTAATTAAATTTATTATACTATTGCATATTAGTTGGCAGACAAGAATTGAGGAACAACTTTATTCATTCAGATAATGGATTAAATCAACAAATATTTACTGGAAGCCTACTGTTAGGCACTGCGACAGTATCTCTCGGAACATCAGTCTCTACACTCCCAGAGATTATAGTCTAGAATTCATATAGTGGTTATGCTAACAACAAAAAGAATAATAATAATTCCTTACAAACAGACTCATGGACTTAGGGAATGAACCTACGGTTGCCAGAGGAAAGGATGAGGGAAAGGGAAAGTTGGGGAGTTCGGGATGGACATGTACTCATAGCTGTACTTAAAATGGATAACCAACATGGACCTACTGTACATCACATGGAACTCTGCTCAGTGTTATGTGGATGGAAGGGGAGTTTGGGGGAGAATGGATACATGTATATGTATGGCTGAGTCTCTTTGCTACTCACCTGAAACTATCACAACATTGTGGGTTATCAGTTATACCCCAGTACAAAATTAAGTTAAAAAAAATCCTTAGAAATTGTGCTATATTTAAGTTACGAGAAAAGTTCTCATGAATTACTTCATTTGGCCCTCATCAAATTTCTGAGGTAGATAGGGCCTACATGCCCCACAAAATGGTGGACTCAATTTGACATACAAAACATACAGTACACACGTCCTTATCCTCCCACAGTTTACAGTCATGAGAAATCATGCAAGATAATGTGGCCAAGTGCCACAGGAGTAGTAAGATAATAAATGCTGAGGAAGTCAGAGGAAAAGTCAGGGCAAGCTCTGTGGAGGAAGTGAGACTTGAATTTAGCCACTGGAGAATGGGTAGGCTTTAGATAAGAGGCAAGGAGGTACTTAAGGGCACAAAAGTAAATCTTTATGGCTGGTTACCCACCAAGTCAAAAAAGGCCTTCACAACTGTGCTAGAGAATCTGTTTATTAGAGATTCAGGAACCAAAGAATCTTCACAGGCTCATAGCTGAAAACAGTTACACTAAAAATTAACATAGTTAACTTGAACACTGACTGGATTTTTTTCTATTAAGGAATTATTACTATTATTTAGATGTGATAATAATTTTGTGAGTGCAATTTCTTTAAAAAACATTCCTTATCTTTTAGGGCTACCTATTAAAATATTTATACATGAACTGATATCTGGAATTTGCCTCAAAATAATATAGAATGTGGACAGGAATGTAAATAAGGCAGAATTTGCCAAGGGTCATTGGGTTATGGGTTATTGTGAACATGGGGTTCATTATACTAGTCTATTTTTGTTCAAAATGTTCAAAATTCTCTATAAAGAAAAAGAATTTTAAAAATTTAACCAAAGATAGAGACCTTCCATTTTCAGTAATGGCAAATTAGATAATATAAACCAACACTTCTGCCAAAGCCTGTTAGAAACAGTTGGACAGAATATAAAAGACATCAATGTGAAGGCACAGAGGGATGACCAGATAGTGACATTTTTTCAGGCCATATACTGGGGAAGGATGGAAGCCCAGAGACATCAGGCCAGCATTTGCAGACATCTTCCCTCTGAGAGCATTTCCCGTATCTTGAGAAGTGGCTGACAGCAGTTCTCTTGACAACCTCACAGATACAGAGAGACACAGACTGCAGTCCAGGGCTCAGGTGGGCCCTGTGGCACCCTACCTCTCTGAGTTGGAAACTTAAAGGGCTAAAACACAGGAATAAGTTTGAATTAGAAGTAAACAGTTTTTGAAGGGACCTCAGCTCAGCTCTGAACATTCTTAGTCCTTCAACTGGACTGAGTTGACTCTGGATTCCTAGCGTGTGCAGGAACCTGGCAAAAGTAAATACGAGTCTTCTCTGCCAGAAGATATTATTGTTTGAGACCTCTAAATTATTTCCATAAGCAATTTAGCAAATATTGTCTGGCACAAAATTGTGACACACCAACCAGCACATAAGTAGATCTGACAACATAAATGAAAATCGCAAAAATTACACAGACTATTACTATTTTCAAGGGACTAAAAACAAGATTATAAAATTTCAGAGAAAACTGGAAACTATAACAAAAAGATCAAATGTAGATTTGGGAAGTGAAAAGTACTATAAGTGAAAATAAGAACTCAATGTGTAAGTTTAACAGCAGGTTATATACAGGTGAAACATATGTCAAAATCCTATAACCAAAATAAGCAGAGAGCCAAAAGATACAAAATATAGAAGAAAGGGGAAGAATCATAAACTATATAAGGAATAGGTCTAATAAACCTGTAATTGGAATTCCACAAGGAGAGAGTGGGGTAAAGCAATGTTAGAATAATGTCAGAAGTAATGCTTATCTGTATAGCAGAAATTAACACAATATTGCAAATCAACTATACTTCAAAAAGAAAAAAAAAAAGAACCATGGATCCTAGGAGAAATGATTGGTTCAAAGATTGAGACAGGGAAAGTAGATGAGCCTGGAACACCTCCTGTCAGAAAGCAAGGAAGTGCTCAAAGAACAATGGTGATATGTCAGAAAGTCACATGAACACACTTGAAGGGGATTCCATTGGCTAAACTCAGGATAATCAGAGCATCAAAATAAAAAATAATAGTAACAGAAGGAGGCTCATTTAATACCATAGGAAACATGAGTCTATGCCAACACAAATAAGTTAATAAATAAACTGAAAGTTAGATGAGAATAAAACACGATTTTACAGTACCACAACCAAAAAACACTTGCTGACTACAAAAGGAAAACAGCAATTTCAGAGTAAAGAGGCCTGGCAGATATGACCTTAGCTGAGGAAATTAAAAATCATGAATAATGGATGTATCAAAATTATGCACCACTTAATGGTGTCAAGTTCATGAAGTCAAGTGAGACCAAGGAGCCTTTCCAGCTGGAGAACACTAGAGAAAGACACTAACCAAAGGCAACCCTGGACTCAAAGGACAGTCACTGGGAAAATTAGTGAAACTTAAATGGGTGTTAAGGATCAGATGGGAGTAATGCGTCAGTTAATTTCCTGATGTGGATTTCATGTTATAACTATACAGGAGTATTTCTTGTTTGAAATAAAAATACCCTAAAATAATCAGGGTATATGGGTCATTAGGTTGGCAATTTATTTTCATATGGCTCAAGTAAAAAAGTTCTTTATACTAGCAACTTTTTCAAAAGTTTGCTTCAAGATTAAAAAATAAAAACTTTTAGAAAACTAAGATAAAAAGAGAATTCCCTTAACCTGCTAAGGTAGTGCTTCTCAAAGTGGCTGCACAGACTGGAGTCAGTTCTCAAACTGTCATCGACAGGTGATGAGATGAGTACAGAAATTGAAAGCGTTAGAAACCTTTACAACAATATGACAGATTGAAGAACTGGGCTTACAATTAATATGCCTTTTACTTTTTTTCTAGTAATTCATCTTCATTTTAGCAAAGTATTTGATACTTTGATCCATGGTTTGCCATGGATAGGAATTAAAAACAAAACCAAGAACTGGTCCTTCCTGCTAAACAGTCTGAGAAGTGTATGATAGGAGTATCTATTAACAACACATGCTATTGAAAATGGCCTTCCCAAGTGGCACAGTGGTAAAGAATCTGCCTGCCAGTGCAGGAGATGCAAGAGAACACGGGTTCAATCCCTGGGTCAGGAAGATCCCCTGGAAAAGGAAATGGCAACCCACTACAGTATTCCTGTCTGGGAAATCCCATGGACAGTGAAGCCTGGTGGGCTACAGTCCATGCGGTTGCAAAGAGAAATGACTGAGGACACATGAATGCTGTTGCAAACATCACAGTAAAATGTGGAGTTTTCCCCTGGGGACAAAACTAAACATTGTTACCATTTTAATAGGGTTCTAGTTGGTGTAGAAAGGCAAGGAATAAAAAGGTGTAAGAATTAAAAAAACAAAAACAAGAACACTGTTATGTGCAGACTGAATACAAAGAAAATACAATTTTTTTCAGAGTCCCAACTACTCATTTCCAACAACCTCCTGCTTTGTACCCATCCCTGTAATATTAAGATAAAGGCCAAAGCAAAAATATGATACTGTCTTTGCCTCACTTATTATCCTTTTAGACCCTGTAACCACTGGGCCCTTATGTATGCTTTGGACAGGGCTCTGTACATTTCAGATTTCAACTTAACCTGTCATCTAATTAATGAACTTTTTAATGAAAAGAGGCTACTCCTTTTCTTTCCTTGGATTTAGGCAGCTATCAAGTTCCAGCTTATAGTTCTGAATTAGAACTACAAATTCTTTACATTAAAATTAAAAATTCTTGTATTTTCATATTTCCCATGGCACCCTGATTAGAATAGGCATCTAGCAGGTATTTAATAAATTCCTATAGATTGGTTTCAAAGCAGAAACCACTTTCAGCATTGGAATCATGTTCACAGAATGCATGAGCCCAAAGATAAAGAAATACAGACAGGCAGGCAGACAATGAAAATAAATGAATAAAGAAAGCAAACATTTAAAAAAAACATAAAAACTTTGCTATAATGCCATCAGAGGGTATTAATGGAAATAACATAGTTTAGTGTGACTATTCAGGGTCTTTTTTCCAAAGCTGGTTCTATACTATTTCAGCTCATGGCTCCTTCATTAAGAAATAAGAGAAATGTCCACCTATATTTGTAATGATCGAAAAAGTTCATACGACCTTTAAGAAACATGTAATCCAAAGGACCTAAGAGACTTTTTGCTTGTTTAGAAACATTTCCTATGAAGCACCAATATCCTCCCTCCGCACAAGGGTTCACTCCATGAACAAAGAGCCAACAGCGTTCACTTCATCCAAACAGCCATTGGATTTAAGTCCTGATCCTGTCACCAACCTTGGGTGGATGATCCAGGTTGCACCACCTTGCATGAATTCTCAGAGTTTCAGGTACTATGCCAATCAGGACCCTATGTTCGTAGGTTTCCTATGATCCACATACAGGATTCTGTCCCATTCTTCTCTTCCAGTCCTAGACAAGGTTCCTAGTTCCAACCCTGCCCCAAGTAGCTGTGGAACTTTGGGAACGTCCCTTAACTTCTTCCAGATTTCATATCATCTTCTGTGCAGTGAAGAATGTCTTCACTGCAGTTCTAATGAGAACTACATCTGAGATCTCCTCTAGTTACTACCTACCCCAATATTCACACGTAAAAACACGTTAAGATAAAAATAAACAAAAAGATGAGAAACTGTGGCACTACTACAACCGCTCATGGTCTGCCTTCCAAGTATTGCTTTACCCAGGGTTTTACAGAAGAAACTCCAATTGGTTCCCGGCAAAGAAAGTGGTATTTCTTAACCATTGTTTCCAGCTACCAATTAGGATGAAACATTTGGGGAAAGACTCAAGTAGCAGAATTTGTGACTGGCACACCTACTGAGTCATTCATTGGCCATGCTCTGATCAGAGAAGAGACCAGCTCTTGATCTTTCCTGTCCCTCTGCCTGTGGGGATATTAATAGCATATTGCGGAGAAAACAGGAACATAAAATTCATGTTATTTATTATGAGTGGCCTGAGACAGTGAAAGCTTCCCCAACAAAAGCCCCCAACAGCAAGACCTAGTCTAATGGAAGAAGACAGATGGAAGCAAACATCAAATACCAATGTCTGATGAGGAAGCAGTGTAGGCTCTGCTCCATGTCTGGTATCTCCCCACGACCCTGACTCTCACTATCTCTGGAACAGGAAGTACCCCAAAACAGAGCCTGGCTGACCTGGGAATCCGTCCCAGGCCCACTGGACCTGGTACCACAGACCCAACGCTATTCCATGCCACTTACCTCTCACTCACCATGCTCCAGACACACTAGCTCCTTGAAATCACCAAGCCAACCCCTTCACTCAGGGCTCTGGCCCATGCCGTTCCCTTCATCTGAAAGACTCTTCCCTTTGCCATGCTATTCTTCACATGACTGGCTCCTGTGCCCCTCAGGGTAAAATGTTACCACCCTCCTCAAGGAAGCTTTTCCTGACCACTCCACAAAGATGCTCTTTTCCATTACTGTATCTATTTTTTTATTAGCCTTTATTACAACTGTGATTAGTGCTTGTTGACTGACATCACGCCCCATAAGAGTGTCAGCTTGCCCATCTTTTTATTTATTGGTATCTACTGGGCATCTCATACCAGTAGCTGGCACATAGTGAGTATTCATTACAAGTTTGTTGAATGAATAAGTAACGATCAGGAGAGCTTCCCAGGTTTTGGTTTGGTCTTTGACTTCCAGGACCATAGTGACTCACCTTGTACATACGGCCCCATCTCTGGGTGCTCCCTGACCCGCAGATTATAGGTCTTTTTTTGATCAGACTGCTTTAGCAGATCCCGCACTCGTTCATTATAGATTTCCAGGAAGCTAGAGACATGGAGAAAAAGGCATAAAATTAGATTTTGAAAAGATGTGGGAAAAACACTAAGAATCAGAAAGTCCTAGTTCTTATTCAGAGTATCTCTGATACTCTGAGACACTGGTCACTCCAGACTCCCCCCTGAGTCTCTTTCTGCATGTGTACATAGGCTTTTAGCACTGACACTCTGAGACACTGGTCACTCCAGACTCCCCCCTGAGTCTCTTTCTACATGTGTACATAGGCTTTTAGCACTGACACTCTGAGACACTGGTCACTCCAGACTCCCCCCTGAGTCTCTTTCTGCATGTATACACAGGGCTTTTAGCACTGGCTGTCATTACTCCAGGGTCAGGTTTACACTGTGAGCGCTGATTCAAGTTTAGCTTTCAAGAGGCTATTTGAGGATGGGTTTAGGCTGCCATCAGCCTGTGCCTTTACCAGTTCCCTGTTGCATACAGTCTTACAAGCATGTTTCTTGAAGTGGTTTTCAAATGTGATCTTTGAGCTCTATTATTCATAGAAGGCATCTCAAGGACCACTGCTTAGCAATTAGGGAAGCTAAGTGAGAAGGGTTCTGCTTCCCACTTCTAATTTAAGTTGCACAACTCTCATTTCACCTATCTTATACACTAGGATTCTGTTTAAGACATACTCTGTCTTATTGGTATCTACTGGCATTTTATACTTTTTAAAATAATAGAACAGCTGCAATTCTTAATTGAAATCAGTAAATATTTTGTTAAATAAGAAAGCACACTTCTCACAGAAAGGTCTTCCTCACTGGACCATGGATACTTCCCTGTGGAGCCAGCAATCAGAAAAAAGGCTCCAGCTCAAAGCTGCTCTCTGCACACACTCCTTATAAATTTTCCCTTCTTAATCATTTCAAATTCAGACATAGGGACCCCCAGAGAGCTCTTAGAATAGTGGTTCCCAGATTTCATAGACAATAAAACACATAATATATACTGCAAAATTTTACTTTACAAATTTAAAAATGTAAAAATAATATTCATAACCATTTAATTTTTAAAAAGGACATTTATTCTTTTTACAGCAATGAAAATGGTATGGAATTAGATAGTGATTATGGTTGAACAGTCTTGTAAGTACTGAAAAAAAAATCACTGAACTATATATACTTCAAAAGTGTGAATTTTATGGTATGTGAATTTGTCTCATATTTTTAAACAAGGACATTAAACACCAAAAAAAAAAAAAATACAGAAAATTAATGGCAATTGGTAACATCACACTGGAGGTAGCCAGCACTAGTCTGGGTACTAGAGTTTCCAGTATTCTTGCTTGGAAAATTCCGTGGACAAAGGAGCCTGGTGGGCTATAGACGATAGGGTCACAGAGTCGGACCCAACTATGCATGCACCCACACCCACCACACAAGAGTTTTGGAACTACTAACCTGGAGAACAACCCAGGAGGGGGCTGGAAGAGAAATTCCAGAAGCTAGTATGAAGCTGAACAGAAAATGAAGGAAGGGAAACCAGCCAGCCAACGGAAGCTGGTCCAGAGGAGACACTAACTTGTTAAGCCTGAGGGTAGAAACTAAGTTGCCTACAACACATCTGCACATGCACGTGACAAGCGCTGTAAGATACTTCTGCTGTGACTTTTCCCCAGTCCTCTGGGTAACTCTGGAAGCAGAGAGGACAGCTCTGGAGTGGACACAGAAACACTTCAGGCTGCAGAGCCCAGCAGGTTCTTACCTTACTTTTATACTGCAGGAGGCAGGCAGTGGGGCACAGTTTTTCTCTCTGATGAAGAGACCCTGCATAAACCAGAGGGTTGTAGTTTCACTGAAGGGGATGTACAAGGAAAACCTACTTTGAGAGTATCCAGTCAAAAGAGAGTCTGTACCTCACATATCCGCGGTGTCAGCCCAACAGAGGCCTGGGGAAGAGAAGAAAGCATTACTGTCCGCTCATGCTGATGCTCTCCCCCAACATCCAGGACCCACGCTCAGCAAGGACAGTGTTCTCGCTCTAGCCTCTTCACTTCAGGCAGTATCCCCAATGGTATGTGGAAGACTCTATTTACCAATGATCTCAGAATCTAACAGGAGGAAAGTATCAGATGAGGGGCAAATCACCACCGTAAGAAGGAAGAGAGGAGAAGCTAGCAAACCCAGATACCTGTTTTCATGCAGAGGAGGTGACATCCTTCTTGGATAAGCCCACTTTACCACAGTGGTCCCTCCCAGAACCCTATCTCCTATCCCCGCACACAGAGGAGAACCAGAGTACATGCATGTTCAAAACACACATTTAGAGAGAAGTGGCTTATTTCTTCATCTTGGATTCAGTGCTAACTTGTACTCAGGTTAATGGCTTTATACCCCTGGGTTACTGAGTCTTTTCTTCTTTTAATTTAAAATATATGAAATCACACCAAACATGAACCTTTAAGGTCTCAAGACATCACACTGAAGATTAGTTCAGCAATGATCTGGGCCCATAGCAGCAGGGACAATCTTTCAGGAGGAATAATATCCTAGAAAAATGTCCTTATGTGGTGTTATTTATCACCTGCCCCACCAGTTCATCTCACCAGGGTTCTTCTAAGCCTAAAACAAAGAGGTATTCTGAAGGAACTCTACCCTCCTAATTTTCCATGATAAAAGAAGGCTCTCATAAGTCCTACACACTTTTGAAAGCCCCCATCCCAGTATTTGGTTCTCCCGCTTCTTTCTAACACTCAGATTTCACACACACACAGCCCCATATCTACATGCCCTTACCCAGCACTTAAGGCAGTCGAGGACTTGTCTACACCAAAGGCATTAAAAAGCTACAAGTGATGAACTTGAAATGATATGAGAAATATAAGAAATTCAGGACTGACAAGGTCTGTTTCATCAAACAGAGTTGTAAAATTCTAAGGTTCTTCAGGTGTAATAAAGAGGGGCTAATTAATCAAAGTTTACCAGTCAGTTAGGGTGCTGAGAAATGTATTCTTAACAGAAAACAGAACCCTTTAAATCTGACTGAAGCCGACTATGAAACTCATCCTCTCTCAGTGGCAAGGACAATGCAACATCCAGGTTTGACGAGGCTTTAAGAAGACATCACATCCCAATCCCAGCACTCACTGGGGTGCCCAGCATGGTGTAGGTCTTCCCAGAGCCTGTCTGCCCATAGGCAAAAAGGCATATGTTGTAGCCTTTGGCAGCTCCAGACAGTACTTCAGTCCCCAAGTCCCGGAACACCTGTAACAATAAAAACAGAGGGCATGTCACTCTGGTCCTACCTTCCAAAGCAGCCTTTTAAAAGGTTATTTGTTAACCTAAAATATAAAATGTTTCAACATCCATGACTATAAATTCCCCACTGTTTTATGAGAATCAATTCAGTTTCAAAAAAAGACTGCTAAGGAAAATTCATTTGTTTAGTAAGTCAATTATTTTTTAAAGTGCTAATTGTATGCTGGGCACAAGGCTAGATATTTAAGATGCAAAATTGATTTGGTCCCTAATCTTTAGGGAAAAAGAGTCCAGGAGAAGGGCAAAGACATGCAAGCAAACTAGTAAAGGAAAACCATGTACATGAATTCTTTTTCCTTCCCATTACAAAAAACAAACAAACAAACAAACAAAAACTTTAATATGGTTAATCAGATAAAGGTACAATGAAATTCCTCCCAGGAACATATCACACAAATTCAAGGTCTCAAGACACTACACGGAGGGTCAGTTAAGCCCAGAAATTAGGGAGGGTTTTTCCTGTGGGCCCCTTCTCCACATGCTGCTTTCTTCAGGCTGATCCTAACAGGTGACTGCTTCTGCTTTCACTCTTTTCTGTAATTTTAGTGAATCAGAAACAACTAGAGGCCCTCCTGGGAAAACCCCTAAACTTGATGTAGTGCCTGAAAGTCCTATTGGACTGTCAGGCAGACCCTGGGCTCAGAACAAAACAGCCTGGCTTATGGAGAAGGCATAACTTTGAGTTGAACCAGTCCTCAGCAGAATGCCACACGGACATCTGCATACACAGCTGGTATGATGGGCATTTACCCTTTGCACTGCTGCTGCTCAGCATCCAAATACTCTTCTGATCTGGGAGAAAACTGTGTCAGTTTTCATGGGAAGCAGGGCCCAACCCTCCCAACAGAAGTCAAACAGGCCAGATAATTCTCTTCATCTCCTGGAGGCTAGAATGTGAACATGTGAAATGAGGCTCGCAAAACTTGAAATTTCAAAGAATGACACAAAAGCAAAGAAAGAGTTAATCAAGTCTCCTTGTTGGCATCGTGAGTCCAACAGTACTGCATCTGAAGTGTACAAGTACCAAGCACAGTGCTCAACTAGACTATTCTGTGATATGGCTTTACCTGGCCTCCCGGCGACTTAGGGCCCCATGGTTTGCCGCCCATTTTTCTACTTTCCCTTAAATTCTATGAATCTCCTAATACAGTTCCAAATTTGAACATGGTTCTTATGGTTAAAAGTTGTGTGATCTTGAACAATTTACTTAAACTTTACTTAAACTTGTTTTTTTTCCTGGTAAATTGGATATTTTGTGTCTATATCACAGGTTTGTTTTAAAGATTGAGATAATACATGTAACTAGGGACCTTGCGGATGAAGATAGGAGTTGCTGACCTAAGATTACACTACACTATTCTGTTTTAGCAGCTGCAGTCACGCTTCTTGACCAGTGAACTATTTGCATTTTGTTTTTTAGTGCTTCTAATATTCAGGCATAGGGCCATAATAATCCAAGTAGAGGTGAAAGATCTAGACATTGTACCATTCCCACCACCTTTCCCAATCTCCCTCCCAGCTCTGTACTCTCCATTCATTCAGTTCTACATTAGCAAAGCTGAAAATTGGGCAGAATTCTCTATGCCTCCTGACATCTGTGTGGGTTAAATTCCCAGGGACTGAAGAAGGAGGAATCATTTCTCTTGATCAGAACACTTGAGTTGGCAGCCATTCATTTACTAGCTGGAAATGTTCACAAAACTCAACCTTTCTTTCCAGTGCTCCAGCAGAAAGTGGGAACAGAGGTGCAGACAGAGCAAGGCCACATCTAGTGTTATTTATTTCTCACCGCTCACACAGCAGGGCAGAACGAGCTCAGTGGATCGTGAAAGAAGACAGGAGAATGTTACTTTGCCCGTGTCTTTATCCAAATTCAAATAATCACCTGGAGGTTTTATGAAAAACATTTTTGAAGATACCATTTTCACTCAACAGTAAAAGGTGTGAACAAGCAAAACTGGTAGGCTCCAAACATGGAATTGGGGGAACTGTTAAGATTCCATTCTTTACGAACCATGAGGCTTAGCTCATCATAAATTCTTAAACAGAGCACAACAGAACCAGATGACATCGTGGTTCACTCTCACCATGGTTATTATAATGAAGCATATGGGAACAGTTCAATATGAATACCAAAAACAGTTCAAAGGCTAAAATAAACCACAAAAGGGAAATCTAATATAGAGGATTAGAATCTAATAATCTAGAAGATCCAGTTCAAGAGGAGAGATGGGCAATGTAACTTTTTTTCCTGGAATATAAGTACAAGAACGCATTCAATAGGTAGATTAATTTCATGTGACACAGAACTTCCAGTCTTTTTAAGCATTCACTAGATTAGGGACAGCCCACTGGTTGCTGCTGAATTGGGACTCACAATACCTGAAGCTCAAGCCGAAACCTATTTCATAGGGGCAACTGAAGCCAGGAACCAGAATTTTTGATCTTCAATATCATGTCATTAGCATTGCAAATGAAAACAAGGAGATACCACCACACAACTATAAGAATGGCCAAAATCTAACACACTGACAACACCAAATGCTTATAAGGAGATGAAGCAATAGGAACTCTCGTTCATTGATGATGGGAATGCAGAATGGTACAGCCACTTTGGAAGACATTATGCCAGTTTTTTTTCCTTAAACAAGACCAAACATATTACTCTTACCATACAGTGAGGCAAGCATGCTCTTTAGTATTTACCCAAAGAGGCTGAAAACATATATACACACAAAAACCTGTACACAGATATTTATAGAAGCTTTCTTCATAATTGTCAAAACATGGAAGTAACCAAGATATCCTTCAATAGGTGAATGTCTAAACTGTGGTATATCCAGACCATGGGATACTATTTAGTGCTAAAAAGAAATGAGCTATTAAGGTATGAAAAAACATGAAGGAACCTTAAATGCAGAAAACTAAGATCATGGCATCTGGTCCCATCACCTCATGGGAAATAGATGGGGAAACAGTGGAAACAGTGTCAGACCTTATTTTGGGGGGCTCCAAAATCACTGCAGATGGTGACTGCAGTCATGAAATTAAAAGACCTTTACTCCTTGGAAGGAAAGTTATGACCAACCTAGACAGCATATTAAAAAGCAGAGACATTACTTTGCCAACAAAAGTCCATCTAGTCAAGGCTATGGTTTTTCCAGTGGTCATGTATGGATGTGAGAGTTGGACTGTGAAGAAAGCTTAGCACCAAAGAATTGATGCTTTTGAACTGTGGTGTTGGAGAAGACTCTTGAAAGTGCCTTGGACTGCAAGGAAATCAAANGGGAGGGATTGGGGGCAGAAGGAAAAGGGGACGACAGAGGATGAGATGGCTGGATGTCATCACCGACTCGATGGACATGAGTTTAAGTAAACTCCAGGAGTTGGTGATGGACAGGGAGGCCTGGAGTGCTGCGATTCATGGGGTCGCAAAGAGTTGGACACCACTGAGCGACTGAACTGAACTGAAGTGAAAGAAGCCAATCTGAAAAGGCTACACACTGTGTGAGTCCAACTACATGACATGCTGGAAAAGGTAAAACTATAGAGACAGTTAAAAAAAAACATCAGTGGCTGACAGGAGTCTGGGGAGGGACAGATGATAGGTGGGATGCAGAGGATTTTTAAGGCAGTGAAACGCCTCTATATGTGAAACTATAATTGTGTATGAAAAGTGAAAGTGTTAGTCGATCAGTCCTGTCCGAATCTTTGTGACCCCATGGACTGTAGCCCGCCAGACTCCTCTGTCCATGGAATTCTCCAGGCAGGAGTACTGGAGTGGGTTGCCATGCCGCCTCCAGGGGATCTTCCTAACGCAGGGGTTGAACCTGCGTGTCCTGTGTTTCCTGCATTGGCAGGTAGGCTCTTTACCACTAGCGCCACCTGGTGGGAAGAAGGAGGCATATGGAATTTCTGTGCTCAATTTTTCTGTAAACCTAAAATTGCTCTAACAAATAAACTCTATTTTCAAAAAACATCTGCAAGATAAATCTCAAGGAATGGAATTCCCTGATAACAGCAACATTTAGCAGACATACCCTTCCTAAACCCGGTTAGAATCAACTAAGTCTCCGGATTAATGTCTCTGATTTCATGATGACTATTTAAGTTCCAAAAATAACGGTTGCTCTGTATTTTCCTAAAGAAAATTCTCACTGTTAGATTTTTGTTGTTGTTGTTTGTTTATTTTTCGTAGTTCTGTAGTTCTTTTATTATATACTATGTTCTCTGAGCCCCAAGGTGACTCCTAACAAAAAAAAACTGACTTCAATTTAGGATGAAAAAGTGTTCAAAATAATGAAATATATACTGATTTCAAATACAGGTAATAGAAATTGTTGATGAGTGAGAAGAGGGTCATTTCAAGGAGGGGGAAAAATTAGTTAGAATCTAAAAACTAACTCTGTTAGCAGGCATTTTGAAACTGGAAAATAATTCTAGACAACTCTGGAAACTATTCAAACACATGTTTTCACTAATGCTGTTACTTAGGAAAACCTCAAATAACCCAGAGTTGTACTTTTACTTTTCATCACACAGACATGGTGAGGTACAGCTGATACTGTTTGTGGATCTACTGATACATTCTCTCTCCAAATTTGTGGGTTAGAAAAGTAAGGTTCAGGGCCTATTATTTGAAAAGAGAGCATTCACATAAAATATATAACTTAATGGGGCCTGCAGTTGGGGAAAGGACTTAGAATGATTTGCTTTCCTCCAAACAGCTACACATTAGGTTTAATAGTTAAGAACACAGGCTTTGCAACTTAATAGACTCATAGNGATATAATGAACAGGTATGTCCTTCCATACATATCTTATATATGTAAGATCAACATATCTTAGGATATACAGTTCATTTTTTGTTTTCATTGAAATAGACACATATAATGTATGTCAACCTGCAGCTTGCTTTTTTTCACATAACATAGCATGAACATATA